TAAGTTTGAATCTAACTTGTGACGTTTGAGGGGGGATTAGAGTGAATTCATAAAGACCATTAAAATTATCATAACTATGTTCCCATGCGTTTGAAGTGCTTTGCTATGGATAACATGGTGGTCACATTTAATTAAAAGCCCACATGTGGGCAGTGGGACAGGTGATTTGAGGAAAGCAAGATTACGAATTAAATTGACTTGGCGAAAGATTAGAAAGTACCAATAAAAAGATATGTTTTTTTTTAACTTTTTATGCTAATTGGGATTTTTATTTTAGGTAATTTTTATAAATAAATGGATAAAATTTCGGATGTTGCGGTTAAAGTTTTAATAATGCGTTAAGTACATTAGAAATTCAATCACTGTGTTATATTATAACATTACTAGCTTTCGCCCGCGACTCCGTCCGCGTGGTGATGAAAAAAACAAAAGTGAATAGCCTATGTGTTCTTCCAGACTATCTTCTACATCTGTGCTAAATTTCATCGAAATCCGTTGAGCCGTTTAGGCTACAAACTCTAACAAACATCCATCCACCCATCTATCCGTCCCTCCATCTAATCTTTCACATTTATAATATTAGTAAGAGTAAGATATTACTAGGATTATACGTTATTTATTCTCTTTTGAATGAAACAAAAAAAAAACAAAAAAAAAACTAGATATACTGGTCAATTTTAATTTGGGTTGAACCAACAAAGGAGATTTAGGACTTCAAAAGCATACCAAACTTTTTAGCCACAGTTTCGACATATTTTACTATTATTAAAACAAAGTATCGAATGCTTGGAAATACGGTTCCCACGTGAAAATAACAGTCTTGAATAGTAATGGATTGTCAACTAGCGAACGATTTATGGGTTCTTACGTAAGCTGTTGCTTTGAAGGGATGCAAAGGTGAGCGACTTGGTCTGTGATTGACAGTGAATGAAGTTTACATTAAAATATGTACAAACATTAAAATGGCATGTCTTGTAAAGGCAGGAATGCATATGCTAGTAAAATGTAGTCTAGCATGCCAGTAATTTGCAAGTGACTGGTACTGCCGCAATGCATACACATGCCAGCTAAATATACCGATCCTACAAGAAGAATCATCTCGGTCTCAATATTGTAGGAAGTAATTTATTTCGAATACTTTTTTCTCGGGTTCAGATTTCAATCTGCTGTGGTTTTAATACAAGAAATGATAGGTTTATTTCTATTTTAAAAAACGTAGTCATTTTTATAATAACTTATCAGAAACATTGCAAAAACTTGTTCGATAACTCTTTGTGGGATAGTGAAGGGTGTTAATATAAAGTGGTCTCTATTCCCTACGCAATAGAATATATTTTCGTATTGGTATTCGTAAATATTGTAAAACTTCCTCATTTTTTGTATTTTACGCGCAAACACTTCGCCGGGTTGCCAGATAATTGTGTTTACATATTTAATAAACAGATAATAAAATCATAAAAACCTTTTAAAAGCGAAGCTTTTGATATAAAAAGAATCTCTAGAAACAATATTAAGTAACAATTTACTCTTCACTTTGAAGTGCCGTTTACGGCACTTAAACATTTTTTACTTCTTGTCCTTAGTATACACTAAGGGGGGCCAGTTGACGTCTCTAAGTACAGTTAGTTTTTTTTTTATAATATAAGGTGGCAAATGAGCAAGCGGCCCTGAATAAACCTGAATAAACCGAAATGGAAAGCGACCGCTGCCCATAAACATCCGCAATTGCAGATGTGTTGCCTTCCCATCCTTTCCTCTTAAGAAAAGGGTGGAAAGGGAAAGGGACCAAAATTAGGCAGACACCACACTCATCAAACGAAACGCAGAATTGCTTCCACTTCACGCTTGTTTTCTGTGTGGTCGTTGTATTACACCGGGTGAGCCGGCCCATTCGTGCGAAGATGTTAAAGCTGGCTCTACCAAATTTATTATAGTTAGTCTTGATCTGATTAGTATTGGTTTATGTTCCTATTGAAAATTTAAAAAAATCTTATAAATTTTATTCATTTAATATCTTTGTCACCATGTATACTGCTTGCTACAGCTGTTGCTTCATGTCCGTGTACGATGGCCCTTACCGTAAGAATTCATACTTTGTACTTGATAAAGCGTATTGAATAACATTATACAAGTTAATCCTAAACGTATACGGACAACAATATCATGTAAATTCGGTTTAGCCGTGAGAAGCCTCCATACAAACATCATTGGAATTCCACACATGTGTTACGTGTCCCGCTTCGAGGATTTACAATGTTAAACATACAAGATAATTTAGTATTTAAAGAATTAATGTGAGCTTACTGACTAAACTCTCAAGGAAAATTTTAAAAGTATGATACAAAGAGAATTAAAATTACTTTGATTTGATATTATCCTGTCTGCGGAACTCAAGCAATATGAAGAGTTATATTTTTGTATGTATTGTTGTAATTCAAATTTTTTTTCCATTAGAAACCTACGTTATCAATGCGTAAAATAGACTATTTTTTTATTTTTTATTTCACGCGCGCGAAGTCACGAGCAACAACTAGTCTCTCTGTAAAACTCACTCAAGTTTGCATTAATTTCGGGAAGGAGAAATGAAAACAAAACAATTAGATGATGTTTCTCGATTACTATAGCATAAGTGTCGAAGAAAGAAAATTAGAAGATATCTTAAACTAGGAAATTGTAAAATAATGTAGAGTTTCGACCATTTATCAGTATCAGAAAAACACTTTAAACTTCTGTACAACAAGATCTTTTGCAATATTTTACACTAGCTTACGCCCGCGACTCCGTCTGCGTGGAATAAAAAAAAAACAAAAGCGAGTAGCCAATGTGTTCTTCCAGACTATCCTCTACATCTATCCAAATTTCATCGAAATCCGTTCAGCCGTTTAGGCTACAAACTCTAACAAACATGCATCTAAACTTTCGCATTTATAATATTAGTATTACTATGATTACCGACTTCAAAAGTCCTCATTTGTTTTTTGTCAAGTCTACTTAGTTACTTAATTCCGGACAATAAGCTTTCAATCATAACTTAAGACATAAATCTCTTAACTTCCCGGTCTGTTCAAATATTACAGGGCAATAGAAACCGCTTTCTACAACCGTACTGTTGCAATGTGTTCCAATTTGTCGTAGCTATAACAAACACGGTTCGAATGATTTTATCGTTCTCGTAACATTAATTAATAGTTTATGAAATGGTTATTTTGTCCCTATAAGCCTTTCTAAACAAGATAAATTTGTAACTGGTAGCTTGTAACGTTTTGTCACGCGATTTAAACAAAAAAAAATGATACCGAAAATCGTTATTAATGCAGGCGCTTTGACTAACGCATAATTATTGTGCGATTGTCGATTGTTTCGTAGTCAATTCAACTGTTTAGTTGCACAACTAAAAATCGAGTAGTGTTTGGACCTCTGTATAAGTTCCCATACATATCAAGAAGAAACAGTTGTGCGATAGTTTAGTCAAAGGTCTATAGCTCTTCTCTACTACAAAAAAGGCCATGTAATTATAATAATTATTATTAATTATTATCACCAGCTCACTATACGTCCCCACCGAGGGGCTCGGAGCCTACCCTAAGTTAGTGACTAGGCCATAGTCAACCACGCTGGCCAAGTGCGGGTTGGTTGACTTCACACATATCTTTGAATTTCTTCGCCGATATGTGCAGGCATCACGATGTTTTCCTTCACCGTAAGAACGTCGGGTAAATTATATGAAAAATCGAAAATCATATTGGTACACGGCGGGATTCGGACCCAAGACCTGTAGATTACAAGTCAAGTGCTCAAACCACTGAGCCACCGACGCTCCTATAATTATAATGTTTACTATAAATTCATACATATAATACCGACAAATGAACATTCATTGATGGCTGTTAACATTTGTCCCTTACGAAATTCAACTTATTGAATCTTTATCAAGAGGAAATCGTATAAATTTCAACATAGAAAACGAATTAAGAAAATCCAATCTTATTCCTAGTACCGTAGAATGGAAATTAGCATAACAATGTTATACTCATTATTGAAAAACAATTATAGGTTATGTTTTTAATTAATTTTTGCGAATGTTAAGATGGATGTGTGGGGTAACACGAATGGATAAGATACGAAATGAGTATATTAGAGGAAGTTTGAGAGTAGCCCCCATAGTAGAGAAGGTTAGGAGTAAAAGGTTAGCATGGTATGGGCATGTTATGAGGAGGGATGAATCGCATGTTACAAGGAGAACGTTAGTTATGAGTGTGGAAGGGTACATCGGTAGAGGTAGACCTAGAAAGAGATGGATGGATTGTGTAAAAGGTGACATGATCAAAAAGGGAGTGATGACTGAGATGACGTATGATAGAGTTATGTGGAGGACAAAAATCTGTTGCGCCGACCCTACGGGAGTAGGATAAGGAGATGATGATGATGATGATGATGTTTTTAATTAATGGGTTACGTTAAGTTTTTTTAATGAACCTTTTGACATTTTTCACCTTCAGTATTAACGATTTAAAAAATATTAAACGAGACATGCATATCAATTTGTATTTTTAATTTAATTTAAATATTCAGTTGTAATTAATTGAAAAGCTATAAAACAGTACACTCTAAACTAAATAGTTTTTATGCTTACTGCATTTTACGAGCATTTAACTGTCTGATTTACGGCAATCTATACATATAATAAAATTGGAGTGTCTGTTTCAAAAGAAAAATTCCAGATTTCGGGAAGATGTATTTGCGTTGCTAATAACGAAAATCTCATGTAAAAATTCTTTGTCTGTCTGTCTGTCCGTCTGTCCACAAGCCGCCTTTGTAATCTCCGAAACGGCTGTTCCGATTTCGAGCAGACTTTCACTGAAGGGTAGCTGACATAGACTGGCATTTTGTAGACTTTTTTTCTTAATATTGTGTGGACGAAGTCGCGGGCAACAGCTAATTGTAAATAAAAGCTCGTTAAATCTGCTTGTTTACTAATGTCATATTAAATTTTATTTCAGTGAACAAGAGGCGTTATCTTACTGTCAGAACAGTCCGTCGAGCGCTGCACCGCGCGGCCAGCACTCGCTGTTACTGTGCTGTTTCCGGGACCTGTGTAACCACGAAGACAGCCCGCTGGCACGCGCCAGGCTCAACCTGACTAACGAACTTGGTAAGTACCTTTGCAATCTTACTTCTTACTAATATCATAAATTCGAAAGTTTAGATGGTTGGATGGATGTTTGTTTGTGTTTGTTGTCTAAACTGCTAAACGGATTTTACTAAAATTTAGCATGGATGTAGAGCATAGTCTGAAAGAACACAATGTTTCACACTTTTGCTTTTTTTAATTACACGCGGACGAAGTCGCGGTCGAAAGTTAGTTGTGATTAAATAGTATCTCCACATTATGCCTGTTTTACATTTGGACAGTACGAAAACCTGGCATGAACTAATTCCAGTTAATTTTTATGCCAGTTAAGTCAGTTTTGATCGCTACTGAACTATTTTACTGGCATAAAAAGGCAGTATCATTTCCCAAAGCCATAAGTATCATAAATACATACAAAATAATCTAAAGCACAAAATACAAATATAAATTCCTTAGTACATAGTTTCCGCGACCGTTTGCTTATTATTCTAGTGGCGTCCTTATCTAATTTAAACAGTGTTCTGACTCAGACTAGCTCCACATGTAACGTGAGACGGATTGCGTCACAGCGAAACTATGTTTTACAATTATTAAATAGATATTTTTCAAATAGCTAATACAAGTATCGGTTATACCGTAGACTGATATTACAAAGAGGAAACGTTTGTTTTTTGATTCTTGTATGCATTAAAGTAATTCAAAAACTACTGGAAAGATTTCAAAAATGATTTCACGTTTAAAAAGCTATGTTATCAGTGATTAACATAGGCTATGTTTTTACCGTTTTTTTAATTCCACGCGCACTAAGTCGCAAGTAACAGCTAGACATTGTTAAAAAGGGACATTTCGTTTTAGCAGTGGAAACATTATCGTCGAATAAATAGACAAATTATATTTTTCAAGGTTTTCAGAAACTTAGATTATTGCTAAAAAGAGCCTACTGTTAATATTTTTAGCTTAAATAAGCTTAAGTTGAAGCTTCACGTTTAATTTCTTAGAGTGTCTTTTATTGATACAAAAATATTGTTAACAGTTGGCTCTTTTTAGTAATAGTCTAATTTTCTGAAAATGTCAATTTTCTATTTACTATCTTTCGCATGCGACTCCGTCCGCGTAAAATTAAATAAAAAAACTGAGTAGTCTATGTGTTCATTCCACAATTCATCGACATCCGTTCAGCCGTTTAAACTACAAACTCTAACAAACATCCATCCATCTAAACTTTGGCATTTATAATATTAGTTAGTAGTAAGATTAGAAGATGTCACGTGTCACTTGATAATTACTCGTTCACACCTGGCCAGTTGGTCAGTAGCTTAATGACTGGACTGATAATCAACTGTCAACTGTCATTATGTGAACGTTAACTGGCAACTGTCCTTACGATCTAACCGGCGCATGTTTTACTGTATTGGCGAAGTGTGAACCGAGCATTATCTATGTAGTTTTATAAACTGCTTTTAATTTCTATACGTTCAGATTAATGTTGATTTTATCCAGACTAGATCATATCCAGTTATCTTTTTAACGTCGTATTGACTCCTTCCTTATGAAGTAAACCAGTTGAATAGAAAGTGCACATGGTAACCGTATACGCAACGGGAATTATTTTGTATTGAAAGTGAACACTATTGTGGCTCCTACGTAAATGATCGTAACTCATAATTTTGTAATTTTCAAATCATAACTCAATTCCTCATCTCTTTACAAATTACTAAACTATATTACTTGTTACTTTTACTAATACTACATGAGATTAAGATGCTCTGGAAGGACACATAGGCTAATTATTAAGTTTTTTTTACTTCTTGCGGACGGAGTCGCGGTCGACAGCAAGTACACAATAAATACCTCAGTTATCGTTAAAATGAACCCGTGTCATTCAAGTGTCAAAAAGCCTTACGTTGTGTATGGTCAGGTCATTGTTGATATCACTAACTGGAAGCTATAACAAAGTATGGCTATTCCCAGAACATAAGTGCACTGTAGCTCGATATGACCGCTACTGTATGTTAGTTACAGATCAAATGTTTTACTTATGTATACTACATATCTCGATAGGTATGTCCATGTTAATACTACGATGTCCCCACTACGCAAACTTCGGAAACAGTTCATTTCCTTTTTCATGTTTTTCGTTATATCGAAGTAACTTTCGCTAGAGATTAGGTCCGCGTGGAATTAAAAAAAAAACAAATTTAAGTCGCCTTTATTTTTCCAAATAATTCTCTACATCTATGCCAAATTTCAAAGAGATCTGTTGAGTAGTTTAGGCTACAAAGTCTCACAAACATCCATCTAAACTCCGCTATAGTCCGTTTGTCCATAACTTATCTGACTCGGCTATCTTGTCAAGAAAGTACCACAAGATCCTTGTTGTTTAGTGACTCGATTTGTAAATTTTCTATGCTTAAATAGTTTTTACACATTGATACACCAAGCAAGATAAGTCTATCGTACTTGTAACCGAAGGGGTTAACTAATATTTTGTTTCCACAGATCCTAACGGCGTGGCGACAGAACGTGGTGCGAGCTACAACGGCGAGGTGTGGTTCAAAGCAGCGACTATAGCTGTTCCAGTGTGCGGCGCACTCATTCTTTTCCTGCTGGTGGCTGTCGCTGTGCGTCTGTTAAGAGCTGACGCGCTGCTGCATGCTGATAGGAAGCTAAGGTACGTTTGAAAGGGAATTGACGCCATGTTAACTGGGATTGAACGCCGTGTTAACAGCGATTGGACGCTAAATTGGCAGTGGATAATGGTTCTAATAAATCAATTCTAGTAACATAAATTAAGGATTGTAGGTTTCTAATTAGAAAATCTGGAAGAAAATTTTCTATAATAAAAATGTCCGGAAATTAACATTCTGTATGGTCACCATTAGACTCCAGACTGACTTTACATTTATAAGTTATCAACTTACTGGAAGTACAAGTAACAACACAGGATGTTTATAAAAGCACGGCTATTTTGACGTTCATAATTTAAAATGTCATCAACTGCAATAGTTTATTTTAATAATAACCTAGAATTTATGATCTCAGAACTGGACACAGATTTCTCATCTAAACCTACAGATAAACTCCAGTTTGAAATACCTATTTCTTTATCTATATAAACTTATTATTTTCAGAGGTGGCTACATGTCCCCAGCTCAGCACTGTACAGAGGATGTGAAGAAAGTGTGGGTAGGCAGTTCATCTTCACCCCTGTTAGTAGCGCCTGGTGGTTGCCTCGTGGCGGTGGAGCGCGCTCAACTAGTAGACGCGTCTCCAACGCAACTCTGTGATATACAACGGTAAATGCTGAAACGTAATCTCTTTTGCGAGCTGTTCCGTGGCTTATGACATTTGGTGTTCGTGATGAGGCTTAAGCAATTTCCAAACGTGAATAAAGTGCTACCGTTCTGTAATAGATGGCGCTGTTAGTATAGTATCAGGTTACACTACTAGATGGCGCTATTATGAGTTTAATAATAAATTGTATTTAAAAAATTAAAACCATTACGATTATGTTATAATTGGTTATCTACATTACAACGCATGAAGCGATGTATAAAGACTGATTTTGAAGCCGATTTTTATATTTGTATGGTTCATAATATACAAGTACAGGTTGGCACACTAATTGTGGCCAGTGAGTTAAAACAATACCAGGCCAGTCCAGTCTTGGTATAGTGTGAACCAAGCATGATTATGAATGGATTGCACTTTGATAGTTAACAAGATAAACTAAAATCTATAATAACCTATCAAACGCGTTGTCAATATAGTGAATAATTAGTGCCTTAGTAGGTTTAACGCTGAATCTAATATGGTTGTAAAGAACTGATAATTTGTATTAAATATTAAAAGATTATGAAATGTACTGCAAATACGTATCATTTAAAACAAAACGAGATTTAATTAAAATGTAACCGACTTCCCAATAATGACTAAAACTTGATTATTTTATTATGAAGATTTATTAAAAGGAAAGGCAACCAAACTATATAATCTCCACTATTATTATTCGTGAAAATCATAATGTAACTTGAATTATGTAGTTAACAAATTAAAAATAACGATAAAAATGTTGCCAGTACCAAAATTGTAAAGAAAAATTGAGTTTTTAATTAATTTAAACCCGATTGTTAAAATAAAAGCATCGATATTGTTAAAAAATGTTAAGTAATGTAATAAATTGAATCTATTTGATTTGATCTCAGAATACTAAAAATTCACGGGTCGGCTCGCGCGATACCAAATTAAGAAAATTGTAACTTTTTAATTATTTTTGATTAATTTTGTAAGCGCTTTTTGTTCCTTGTATATGTGAATGTATTATATTCATAAATATAAAATGTGGGAGTAAACGTAAAAACAAAAAGTAAGGTTAGGATTTTTATAACCTTGTAAAATGCGAAGTAGTCAATTCCATAATAACTTTTTGTTATATACTATGATAATACATATGTATTGTATTTTTATAAATCGGTTGTGAGAACAACGAATGACGTCACAAATAGGTTGGGTTTAGAATTTATGGATAAAAAAATATTTATTATTTATGTGAAAAAACTAAAAAAAGGAATTGTACAATTTTGAGGAGATATTAATAAATTGTAATATAAATAAAATCACTTTAAAGTTTTTGTTTGAAAACGATTATTTTTGTCAAATATGTAATAGAGATGCATTTACCTTTATTGCTATGTAAACATCGATTGTGAAAAAAATAGGTTAGTAATAATTTAAAAATGAATCGATTTGTGTACAATTGCTAGGAGCATCTCTAATGGATATGAATTTCGCATTATTTATATTTTAATTATGTTTTGTAAATATAATATTAAGTTGTTACCTGTTGTAATACGCATGCGTAAGTTTTGGTGCATATTGTACTGAGCACACAAATCTTACATCCTAGTCTTTATTAATCTGATTATTATTAATAAAACACGTTTGACATCACTATTAACGTAGTTAATGAAAGGTAAAGTATACTTTTTTATTAAATTTTCTCTGTGTTGATTTCTTATTTTGTCCTGAATTGAAGAAATGCCTTTTTAAAACAAATTAAACATTTTTTTAATCTATGGAAGTCAAACGTGTTCTTGTATTTATTAAACCTTTCTCATTTCATATAAAAATAGTTATATTTAATACTGTGATCGATTAATCGATTTCTTTTAATAATCGATTATATTATAGATCTTATTTTGTACATAATGTATCGTTACTTTTATGTACACTTAGCTTCCTTAAAGGTGCCTTACCTTTATACTAAGTTATATTAAGTACGCAAGTTAAATACTCTGTAATAATAATATATCTGCCTCTGTACTGTAAATATTATGTATAAATCAACAAATAAAATGAAATTATTTTATTACTGGAATATTTTCTTTTTTATTAAACTTACCTCTATTTATGACATAAAAAAACTTTTATAAACCTAAAATAAAACGTATCTAGAAGTACTCCTTCTTACTAGATTCAGAACTCGAAAAATTATCTTGAAATTAGGTAAAAGTAACATAGACAGGCCATCAGTATGGTGTTATGTTTCTCTCAGAAAACCATAGTATTGTGTACTGTTAGTATTTTTTTATAACATAAGGTGGCAAACGAGCGAGCGGCCACCTGAATCCGCCAAAATGGCGAAGCAACCGCTGCCCATAGATATCCGCAATTGCAGATCCGTTGCCTACCCTTATCCGACAGAGAAGGAGATGCACATAAAGAGGATATTTCCCCTTCCTATGCATCTCCCCTACCATCAAATCCACTACCCGTTCCCATCCTCTCCTTATAAGAAAAGGGTGGTAAAGAGAAAAGGACTTAAATTAGGCCTCCGGCACCACACTCATCAGACGAAACATGGAATTGCTTATGCTATGTATGTAGTATGCTAAAGGTAGCTACCCCCCTGCACCTAGCCTAAACCATCGACTAGCAACACCTATGGACAAGAACTACAATTCCGTGGACAACCTTCATGGGAAAGTAGAAGGGGATACAGGGACAAAGAGTAGAAACAAAGAACAAAATAATAACCATTCCACTGCGTTTCTAAAAATTAACTAAACACATTTGAAACTTCACATAAATCCCTTGGAAATATGAATATTTAGTTACATATTTGATATAGATTACATCTCGTAGATCAAAACTTAGATAACTTACTAAATATCATAACAAGTTACGTCAACAGGTTAACTGTTTGTCAACAATCTGACGAAACTTTGTCATAAAAATTACAAAATTCAAATAATTAAATTGGCCAGTATATAAGCGTTTCCAGAGGGGTGAAGGGAGGATGGGTTTAACCTCCCCCTCCCTCACTAGGGGATTGAAAAATATAAAATGGTACTTCGATTACAACCGTATTAATTGTAGATGGTACGCTGCCTAAATGATCGGCTTCAAATGCCCATAGTCTATACTATTATAATAAAGCGTAAACACACACTTCTTTGTTGCCTAAGATCTCAGCAATTACAGCATATTTTTAAATAATTCTTTTGTTTAATAAAAAGCCCTACACTTACATGCTAGCCCTACACGTCATGCTTTAGGCAGTATATTTTCACGCCATTGCACTTAGGGGGTAAATGTTTTGGATAAACACTCTAATGTGGGATAGAGACCATAAGTTGCTGCCAACATCAAGGAAGAAGGATTGCTAAGGTTTGTCCTGTCATGTCATTTTGACATTTGCTATTGATAATTTGACAAATGTAAACAATAAAATAATATTTTCATAATTACATGCGGATGAAGCCGCACGGGAACAGCTAGTCCTAAATAAAATTAGAAAGAAAACCTTTTTGCTTGACATTACTTTTTAAGTTTTTATGAAAAAAATCTGGATAATGTGAGAAGGTGTAAATACTATTGTTGAGCAATATCAAAAAAACCTTATTCTTTTTTTTTATTTATTTTTACACGGGGCTTTAAAATCATACTTCGATATGGTATTTAAGATTAACTATTAACTACGTTATTAACTTACTATAGATGAAAAAAACAACCTTTTTTTAACCTTAAAATATACATAGTTGCAATAAATTACGAAACAAAATTATTAATTCATATTTCTGTTATTAAGATCTGTTTAAAGATAACCTGCCCTTTATAAGCAAGCCAGATGAATCGGCGGTTGCAGTCCTTTGACAAACGTTGATGTGTTGTGGAAAATATTTAGAAAAAGTTGTGAAGATAACTTGTAAGTACAAACAAAGATTATATTTCCAAGCCAATACGAGTTAAAATCCTTTGAGAAGCGAGCCTGCCATTTCCTCAAAGGCTGGCATCTGTAGTTCGTCTGGTGTTGCGGATGTCCATAGGCGTCGTTGATCACCTCGGTGTTCCTGCCGCTCGTTTGCCCCCTTTTCTTTTAAAAAAGGGTCTATTATGAGACGTACTCTTAACGTGAACGATAAAATTTGTATTGTACTAGGTAGGGCGCTGCATGTTTGCACATTTTATCGATGTCGATACGAAAGCGTTCGATTCGTAATATTCCCTCAGGTTTCCACGAAGTCAAAAAACTTAGTAATATAATTTTGTGTCTAGTAATTGTGTACGACTTACAAGGTGTTCAATCTATGATCTAGTTTACCTAATTACTAATCCATTCGCTAACATTAGTAGTAATTCTAGAAACTAACGTGTTATTACTGTTCAATTACTCTTTTTAATTAGACTTTAAATCAAATAAATTCGTCTGAAAATGACTATTTATTTCATTTAGATTTCCTTTGCGATTACGAAAGGTGTGGTTGCAAATGCCCTTATTTTTTGACGGCTTGTAAAATAATAAAAAAGTATTGTTTTAATATGGGAATATTTAAAGTTAACTTTTCTTGACTTTGCAGTGCGAAATGACAAAGGGACAAGAAGCTAAGAATGCCAATGTTTTGGATTTCGATCATTTAACATTTTGGGTCGCTAACGCTAAAACGGTAAACACTTTTCCATTTTCTTTTAATGATTTTAGATCCATTTATAAATCCATAATCAGTCTTGTTGGGCTGTTAGTAATGAAATACATTTTTAATGTTTTAGACATCAAGTTATTTTGTGAGTCGTTTCGGCTTCAAACCTCTTGCTAAAAGAGACGCAACTGAGACAAACTCCGTACAAGCGTATGCTGTTAAACTAAATAAGGTAACAATATTGAATTAGAAAAGAAACAAATATTCAGTTTGAATCTCTTATTATAAAAAAAACATATTATTTCAGATAATAATAATATTCGAATCTCCAACCGCATCTGATGGCGAGATTTCAAAAGATTTAACAGCTCACGGTGATTTCGTCAAAGACGTCGCGTTTACTATCAACGACCTTGATAAATTGGTCAAAAAAGCGACCTTAGAGGGCGCTGAGATTGTCAAGAACATTACAGAAGAGACAGACAAAGATGGAACTCTTAGATACGCAGTTTTAAAAACTTATGGCGATAACACTCACACTTTAATAGACCGGACAAAGTACAACGGTATACTGCTTCCAGGATTTGAGCCAACAGAAGATGATCCTCTCGACAAACTGCTTCCAGACACATATCTACAGTTCATAGATCACGTAGAAGGTAATATGAGTGATGGTACTATTGAAATCACAACATCATGGTACGAGAAAAATTTAAACATGCATAGATTCTGGTGTGTCGATTACAAACACGATTTAGTACCATATTCTTGCATTAAATCCACGTCCGTTATCAACCAAGATGAAACAGTTTTGTTATCATTCAATGAAGCAGCAAAAGGACTACTTCCGAGTAGTAAAGCTACGGAATTCGTCAAGGCTTTAGGAGCTCCTGGTGTTGAACATATTGCGTTATACACAGACGATATTGTAGGAACGATGCGGAGTTTAAAGGCTCGTGGGGCTGAAATACTATCCGCACCTCCAACATATTACGATTTAATTAAAGAAAAACTGAAAGACAGTACGGTGAATGTGACAGAAAGTGTAGAAATGCTTAAAGAGAATAACATTTTTATTGATTTCGATGACCGTGGGTATATGCTTCAAGCGTTTACCAAACATTTACAAGCTCGACCGACGCTGTTCCTTGAAATTATACAAAGAAGAAATCATAGAGGCTTCGGTGCTATGAATTATAGATGGGTTTTTGAAGCTATCGAACGTTTAGCACCTTCCACAGATAAAGAAGAATGATTTAACAGATTTCATTACAAGCTTATAAAACTTTTATTCAAATAACTATGTTAATCTATGCATAATCTTTTATGGTAATAATAAAATGGGGTGAAATAATTGTTTATTATTTGCTGTAACCAATACAATAAGACCTACAAATAGATTATTTTTTAAATTATATATATATCGTCAGTTAGAAATACAAAGCGAGGTAAAGAATGAAAAATTCCTATATCTGTTTACTATTTATTGTAATAGACAAATATTATTGTTTACTCAACGAAGGTGTTGCATTAATATTAATATCTTTATGACATTCGTAAACAAGTTAACCTCTCTGTCAATCGGAAGATATCGTCACCATTACTTGCAATACTCCATCTTTATAATTAGATCCAAATCATATGGTATGGGTACCCCGGTAGAGGTAAACCTAGAAAGAGATGGATGCGTGAAAGGAGACATGATCAAGAAGGGAGTGATGACTTTGATGACGGATGATAGAGTTATTTGGAGGACGAAAATCCGGTGCGCAGACCCTACGGGAGTAGGATAAGGCAGGGAGATTATGATAATCATAAAAAATATTAACCGATTAAATATAACATAGTATGTGCTACGTAATATGCTAGTTTCTGTACTACTGCTAAGAAATTTGGGTATAATCGTCGATAAATTGTATTTAGTAATAATTTTTGTCATTTCTTCATTTCAACCTTTCTAAACTAGGGTAGATACTTTTTGTTTTCTAAGGTTAGAAGGTTCTGGAATGTTGCACAATGTTTTGAAATACATGCATAGTATATAAATGTAGCTTATATACTAAGGACCGGTCGGAACCGGACTCGAACTGCGGACAACGTGGGGTAGAGACGATTCAACCACTCTACTATAGTTTTACCTAGTTGTGTTTAATAACTTGCAGTTTTATGAAATTTTACACAATAACGATGTTACAATGTCTTATGATTTAAAAGTCGGATCATAAACTAAAAACTGTAATTTTTATAACAAAAAAAATTTATGACTATAAATATAAGTAAAATGTATCTACGCGTAGTTTAGTTCAAATATTACATTAGTTTAGTATAAATATTATACATATTGGAATTGAATCGTTTAATAAAAAGAATGTTTCAATTAAATACAGTTCAACAAAAACTACAAAACATAAATTTATAGGTTAGAATTCAATTAACAAATATGTGTGTTAACCTAGAAGCAGAAGCCATATAATTCATTGAAATATATAGAGACAACTTAATTACGTGTAAAATAATGAAAGGGGAATTATTAAAAAACTTCTAACAAATGTACAATGACGTATATTCGTAAACTTTGTGCCATTTCCCGCGCTGTCAATCAGCGCCACCCCGCCTCTGTGCCGTTTCGCTACATCCAGTTTTGCCGCAACGCATTAGCATTTGGCTCGGTCATTCTCTCAACTTGTTTTCCACAGCTGAATGGAAATAAACGTATTTAAACATTTATTTTTCTGAATTATAAGTATTTAATTGTTTACAGATTATAAATTAGTATATTTTTAGGTTATAATATTCGGATTGAATTTGGACGCTTATTTTACGACTTTATAGCTTTTCCTTTATAAGAAACATAATTATGTTAGACGTATTTGTTAATAAAGAACATACAAATGTTATTTTCTACTAAATCTTACTTTTAATTTATCCTAATAATGGTAGTATTTCTATGTAATTATTTTTCCTCTCTATTTACACATGTGATCAACTGCAAAGGAGATACAAACAAGCAATAAATCTGTCCATCCTCTGTTTCTATATTCTTTGTCTGACTTACGTCACTCACCATTGCATACTTCAGCTGTTACTATAAGGAGCAAATGGTCGTCAACATATTCCCAGTACATAAGTATCTACTTCAAGCTTGTAGTGTTGTTCTTGTGAACAGGTTCGAAACGTTGCTGCGACACTCGTAAACAAATTTAAGGAACCTACATACTCTCCGAAGATTTATGCTTTTACTCGTGACTTTGCTTTTGAAGTAACACCTTTTTCTATTGGCATGTCGTCTAGACAAGCTAGTGAAAAATGGATCTAAATATCTTATTAGTATGAATTCATATTATAAATGCGAAAGTTTATAGATGGGTGGATGTTTGAGAGTTTGTAGCATAAACGGCGTAACGGATTTCGATGAAATTTGGTGTAGATTTAGAGGATAGTGTGGAAGAACACATAGGCTACTCACTTTTTTTTAATTACACGCGGACGGAGTCGTGGGCGAATGCTAGTAGTAAAATGTTTAGTGCTAATCAAATTCTTTTATTTCTAAATACTTACCGATATAAAATTAGTATTTTAATGTGTTTATTGAGTTTTAACTGCTTCAGGAAAACTAGCTTCAATATTGTCGAATTCAATAGATGTTGCCATTTACCACTATTGGTATTGTATTACTATATATTACTAGATAACGTTACGCAACAACAGTGACAATTATCTTTCCGAAAAATACAAGAAAAGTAAGTTTATATTAGCGAGTATTAAAAACTGGGTCTGTCATACAATAAAGGTAACGTTCGATGTTTCAGTTAATCAACTTATTTTAATTAATGTCAGCGAAATTACGGTCGAAATTTTCAACTAAGTTCACCATTATTTTCCTCGAGACTGTCTCTTTTGTGATTAAATTGTTTTTAATTACTTAATAACATAGAATATTTACATCGCTACGTAATCAAAATGTTTTTTTTTAGACTTGTTGTAACCCTTACCTGATCATATCATATTTACTCTTGAAACTATCTAAATAACATCCAAATGTTTTAATTATTATTATTTATCCTTTAATTTTATACAAACCCTACACAATTGTATAAACAGATAATTGTTGGATAGTTTTATACCAACCGCAGCGTCATAGCGAATATGCCGTGTGTGTAGACTCCTTTATATTGTTTTCTCATACAACCTGCAATATATTAAGCTATAAATTCCGTATTTACGAGGCGATATAAGATCGATGGAAGACATTTTCTTTTCAGTTATCTATTAATGATTGTATTGGAAAGACCGATTTTTTTTTAACGAAATAATTTTAACATGGTAAGTACAGTTTATTCTATAATAAATACAATACAGATAATGCTAAACATTCAAGGTTATTTTTTAATTCATATTTCTGTGTCAGTGATAATTACGTTCTGAAAAAAGTTCATTGGGTTTTGCATTAATTGAAATTTTTGGTTCAATATTTTTCAAAACTAAGTGTATATTGCGAAATATGAATATTACAGATATGTAAGTTTTAGGCAATAACCGTTACATTTTTTATTTAAAAAAAAACGTAGAGTTAAAAAAGTGTTTTCCACTTTTAAATTTAATGCGATACTAGTAAAAGTTTTAGTAGTTAGATACTTAATAATTTTTAGTATGTTATATTTTATTTTTTCCTAGACGTCATATACGGACAAGGGTCGGAAGCCGGACAACGGTCGATTTTTGTCTTTCGATCATCTCACCTTCTGGGTTTCGAATGCAAAACAAGTAAGTGTAAATTATAACTTTTCATCTTAATTCTGAGATTACACTGGAATTTATGTATCTTACCAATTTTGGACCTATATTTCTGCTTCTTTGCAACGTTATAAAATTAAGAAAATATATAACAAATTTTTGAGGTTATCTTTATGTCCAGTATTAAATAGGCCTTAGATCAATTACTTTTTGTGCCTGTAGTTTTTTACTTAGTGGAAAATAATAATTTAAAAAATGTTACAAATATCTGGTTTAACAGAATGGGTGTGAAGCCGGTTTTCCAATATAATAGATTTCCATTTGACCTTTAAATTAATAAAGTGGTTCGTGTTCTAGGCGGCGAGCTATTACGTCACAAGGTTCGGATTCGAGCCTCTCGCGTACCGAGGATTGGAAACTGGCTCCAGAAAGATCGCCTCGCACGCTGTCAGGTTGAACAAGGTATTAAAATAACGTAACTATATAAAAAAAAAAAACAACAGAAAGTTGCGTTTTTATGTGCGCATATAACTTTAGACTGAAAACAGTTTAGATGGATGGATGTTTATTGGACTTTGAAGCCAAAACAGCTGAAAGGATCACGTTGAAATTTGGCATAGATGTAAATGATAGTTTGGTAAAACACATACTTTTTTTATTTCTACGCGGACGGTATCCTGGGTGAAAGCTAGTATGTTATAAAATGTATGTCTACTAGTAAAAAAAGGGGCCACTATTGTAATCTCGCTTAGAGTTCTAGTAGAGCAATCCTACACAAAACATACTTTGGGTGGAGGACAGCAGCTGTAGGGTTGTGCCACGCCCACACATGTTACGTTCCGACCACAAACAATATAACACTATTCTAGGTTCCGACGATATTAAAATTGTGTGTAATAAAAATAATAAGTAACGAATCTCGGAATGTCTAACAATGTATATGTCTATTAGCTTTCGCCCGCGAGGAATTAAAAAAAACAAAAGTGAGTAGCCTATGTGTTCTTACAGACTATCCTCTACTCCTTTACCAAATTTCATCGAAATCGATTCAGCTGTTTAGGCTACAACCTCTAACAAACATCCATCCATCTAAACTTTCGCATTTATAATATTAGTAACTAAGTATTAATATGATAACTCCTGTTTGTTAAATAACAATTAAACTTTCAGATTGTGTTCGTCTTCGAAGCGCAGTATGATCCAGAAGATTCTGTTTTAGTCAAAGAAGTCGGATATCACGGTGACTTCGTCAAAGATGTCGCGTTTCAAGTTGAGAACCTGGATTACATTCTGGAATACGCAAAGAAACAAGGCGCTGTCGTGGTCAAAGATCTTTGGGAGGAAAGCGACGAGTTTGGGGTTGTTAGAATGGCAACATTGAAAACGGTAAGATTGTGTACATGAAAGACATCGTACAGGGAATTATTTAAGTAGCTTCTCTTGTTTATTATCTTGAAGCAGAATATCTATACTAATATTATACAGAGAAAAGATTTGTATTTTTGTATTTTTGTTTGTATTGAAATAACTCAAAAACTACTGGGCCGATTTCAAAAATTCTTTCAGCAGTAGAAAGGAAATTTATCTGTTAGTAACATAGTCTATATTTTAGACTATATTTTTATCATATCTTGTTGTCCTTCAGTACGGCGACAACACTCATACATTGGTGGATAGATCGAAATACAAAGGATCGTTCCTCCCAGGCTACGTCACTGTCAACAAGGACCCAATCAGTAACTTTCTGTAAGTACCCATAGTTATGTGTTTGTAAGAAAATATTTCGAATGTCCGGTCTGTAACTAATTTTATTTAAATCTCTGAAACAGACCTAAAGTGGAAATAAACTTCATTGACCATGTTGTGGGAAACCAGCCGGACGAGGGCATGGAACTGGCTGCTTCCTGGTATGAGAGATGTCTGCAGTTCCACAGGTTAGATCCATTTTATCGAAGACTTAATTATGATGAACCAGTTCATTCCAGTATGCACATTGCCAGGGGCTGTAAGAGGGGAGCAATAGCATCTCTTGTCCATAGTTTAAAGCCTTTAAAAACCAAATGCAAGTCTGACCACATAAGGTAATAAATGTTTTCTGTCCAGATTCTGGTCCGTGGACGATAAACAAGTATGCACAGAGTATTCCGCGCTACGTTCCATAGTGATGGCGAACTGGGAGGAGAATGTAAAGATGCCAATCAACGAGCCCGCGCCCGGAAAGAAGAAAAGCCAGATACAGGAATACGTGGAGTACCACGGTGGCGCTGGGGTACAGCACATCGCTATTAATACCGAAGACATAATTACTGCGGTAAGATTTCCACTAAGCCAATCGCGACTTCTGTTCGAGTTATGCCAGTGCCAGTGGAAACGTACACATTTCTTAACTATGATATGACATGAACTATCAACTGCCAAGTTTGGTTTATTCAATTGAAGCTGGTCCAAATATCAAATTTAACTTCGTATATTATATTGTGGAATATATGTTCTATCTCAGTATGTAAGTATTGTTATTTATGTGTTAACTATCAACAGATCGAGAACCTTCGATCGCGCGGTGTCGAATTCCTGTCCATACCGTCAGAATACTACAGAATAATAAGAGAACGATTGAAGGAGAGCAAAGTGCGCGTCGCTGAGAGCATTGACGTGTTAGAGCGACTTAACATCCTCATAGACTACGACGATGACGGTTACCTATTGCAGATATTCACAAAGAATACTCAAGATCGGCCTACACTCTTCCTTGAGGTTATACAACGGAGAAATCATAATGTGAGTGAATTTGATATTTGCGGAGCTTTGCCGATGCTCGTGACGTCATATGTCACTGAGCAATGACTTTTTACATACATGTTTTTCCTTTCCAGGGATTTGGAGCTGGAAACTTTAAAACTCTATTTGAATCCATCGAACTTGAACAAGAAAAACGAGGAAATCTATAAATTTAAATAAACGGAAAAAAAGTCGTTCATTCGCCTACCTTGAAGTATGATTATATTTAGTTTAAGAAAACATTTATATTCATGTCTGAATCCAAATACGGCACATATATTATGAAACTGAAAAAATAATGTATTGCTAAACTGTTTAAAAAAAAAACTTCTATATTAGTTTCTAAGTGTTATAATTTTTAAATAAAAACATTTAATGCATCTTTCTGTTTAATTATTTTCATTTACCCTTACATATTTTATACAATCTATACTAAAAGAGAAAAGATTCGTATTTTTTGGTTTTTGTCTTTGAATTGAACTCAAAAACTATTGCACTGATTTCAAAAATTCTTTCACTATTAAAACGCTACATAATCAGTGAGTAACATAGAATATATATATTTTTTTAATTTGACGCAAAAGTTAGTTTAAGATAAAGGCAAGGTAAAATTCAATGAAACAAGATTAAAAAGAGTATATCGTTTTATTTCGATAACGTTGAACAACGTCATTAATACAGTCGTACACCAATTAGATAAAATACGACAGAGGAACGTATATTTACATAAAACAACACGTATTATGAATAAAATGCACAAAATAAAAAAGGTCACAACGCTTAGCGGAATAATCGTAACGCCTTTGCCTTTCTGTTTTAAAACATCTTGCATTCGAAATTTAAAATTTGAATTAAGTTTGAATTTCGAATTCAAATTTCGAACCGACATAATTTTTTTCGGATAAAAATATTTTATTAGACAGCCAGTATGATTTACTAGATTACGTCGATTATATTTAGTTATTTTTTAATTTCCTTACAAATGTATCTGCCAATCTATACACAGATATATATTTTAATTTTCCCTTAATTAGTCTTTAGTCAAAACCGATGAATCCCTTAAAATAAAAATGCAGATACAAGTTTACACGATTACTGAAAGCACCAAATTGGAAATAAATCACAAAACTCGATTACAATATAAATAATAATTGATTTCAAAATAATTTTCATATAATATAGTCTAAAACTTCAACACTAAACAAGTTTGGATAAAGTTGGAACATACGAGAATAAAAGTTTCTAACTATAAATTTGAAAGCCCCTATACAAAATCGTGCTATCTCTGTCTTTTCTACTGAGAGTAAGAGAGATAGCAATGTCTGTACAGAAGTTTTGTAAGTGAAAATTTGAATACTACAAACCGAAAAATCGATAGTAAGTAGTAAGAAAAATACAACTGAAATTTAGACAGTAAAAATATTGTCCCAAACTATTAACCTTACCATGGGATACTATTACAAAAGAAGTACAGTCAGCTACATAAATATACAAAAAATAAATTTCTAGTCTTTTTGTTTCAAAAATATGCACTTATTAAAAATACTTCCATGCATATTTTTTAAACCGAAAGCGTATAAAAGTTTTTGTTGATTGATAAATTATACATACTTTTGCAGCCGACTGTACTTACCATCCTTTACATTTCCCTTTGGAAAAAATAAGATAGCAATATTACGTCAGTGTAAGCCCACGGTTATACTACACGAGTTCAAATACTTTTTTACATACTTCGTGGTGTTTAATATTTCTAAACTCAAACACTAAGGCCTTATTTTATACATAATTTCTCAAATCAATATAAAAATTTAAATAAACTATAATTTAATTTGCTTCCTGTTGTCATTTTCATTGGAATAAAACTATTTTCACATTGATGTTATTAACAAAAATGTCAGTTATAACCGATAGTAACTGTCGTATTAATATTTTTACTGTCAATTGCACATTTTTGTAGTTAAATATGTCTTGACATATATACAGACATTTTTTATAATATACCAATTTTTATATACATAATGTCAAAGTATTTTTAAGTCGATACATTTCTTAAACCGGAAACATTTTTTTTAATAAAGTACTGAAAATTACGATATTTAAAATGGCAATTGATTCATTTCCAATTTTAACATCTAGATTCTTTCAAAGTAGCAAAGTCAAATTATACAAGTCCAATAATAAAAATGATTTAAAATCGATTTTAAATACACAATGATTTTTCTACTTACGAGTAATCTTCCCATACATTTAGGTTAAAAAAAACGGCCTATGTGGTGCGTTCAGATTAAACACTAATTTCTTAATATTGATTAAATTTTAACTATAATGTAGAATTTTTGGGTTAATAGGGGAATACCCTAACTGTAAGATCCTTTTTCCACTGGCGCGATAGCCGCGCGACTGACAGCAGGATTCGATATCAACAGAAATGAGAAATTATACAATTTTAAGGCTGTAGAAAGAAAGAATATTTATATCAGTTTAAACTGATACTTTATTAGAAAAATATAGAACAATTTAATTAGAGAAATATTTTAACCGTTTCATCGCTTATAACTGATTTGTCAAAAATCCACCATAAACGGCATAAAAGGGTTAACGTAATAAAAATAAATTGAAACACCAAGCTTTATGCCTATTTTGCATTATGCCTTTAGCATATTACCTGAAACTAAAATCCATAGACAACAAATAACTCATGTACATAGAAACAATTTAATTTCTCATTTCTATTGTTAAAAACGCACAATTCCCGTAGTTTTCAGAAAAATGGTCTAAAAGCGGCCTTAACAAGTGGGGGCGGGGAACTAAGCGTGTGGGGCGTGTTCCCTGGGGGGCGTGTCCCCCTCCAAGTCCCCGGGCTCCACCATCTCGAAGTCCCGGTCCGTGGAGGAGCGCTGACTGTTCTCGGACTCGGACTCCGATAGTTTATCTGCGGAAACTACTTCCGCTATCTCCTCCCTGGAAAAAAAATAACCTATAACACTCCCGCACTCATCAGATACCTTCCGGTAAAGTCCCGGCAACATCGGTCCAATAGTTTCGGAGTTTAAGCGGAACAAACGCGAACTAATAAACTATTATAAAGATAAAAGATTTGTATTTTATGTATTGAAATAACTCAAAATACTGAACCGATTTTAAAAATTCTTTCACCATTAGAAAAGGTAATTAATCTGCGAGTAACATATGCCATGCTTTTTTACTATTTTTTTAATTTCACGCGGGGAAAGTCTCATCATAATTAATAATTTTAATTGTATTTATTTAATATATAGTTTTAATTGCATTTACATTTTATTGTAATTTCTAAATCTAGTCAAATTTTTGTTGTCTATATTGTTATTTTAAATTAATTCTATTGTAATATTGCTTTTAAATTAGACTTAGATAAATATATAAAATGTGATAGATAGAAAAGACAAACAAACGCGGACTTGCAGACAGACAAAACCTAGTTTTTCATATCATAGTATCAGTATTGCAAATACAATCGCATTCTTACATTTATTTCTATTTTACATATAGACACTTCAATTTTATTTATGGTATAGTTATTTACTCATGAATAATCGAAACAAAATTATTTAAAGTAAAGCCAGCTACAGACGCTCAGTTCTAAAAGACAATTTTAACTGAAGAGTCAAACTGTGCGTGGAAGCAAAACTTTATTTGTACAGTTCATTTGTGAGTTAAAAATTTACAAACGCACAATTTTAACTAATCTATTCGACTATTCAGTTAAAATAATTGGACCTGAGCGTGTGTAGTAAGCCTAATGTCATATGACACAATAGTCTGCGTACATACTTAGGTTCTTCCTCCTCCTTAGCCAAGGTTTCTACCACGGGAGGTGCGGGAGGCGGCTCCTCAGTGAGGAGTGGCGTCTTCTCCTCCTCATCATCAGACACCTTGTCTTTCTTGCGCTTCTTCTTGCTCTTTGATGACTTATCGCTGTCGGAGCCTGGACCGCGGTACTCATACTGGAAATTATAATAAAAAACTTATATTGACCAAAACGAACACTAAATTTATAAAATACTATCTGTTTCCCTCGACTTCATCCGTGTGAAATTAAAAAAATAATAAAAAACATAGCCTATGTTACTCAATGATCTTGAAGCTTTTTAATGAATATTTTTTTTTAAATCGACTTAGTCATATTTACGTAAATCGAATACATACAAAAATACAAATCTGTCCTCTTTATAACATAAGTATAGATGATTGTTCGGCAAGTCTATAACAGAGATTAATCAATGTTACGTCACCGTGTCGTCAGCGTGCCGTCATCATGTCGTCAGTGTGACGTCACCATGTCGCATACCTTGTACAGCGGCCAGAAGGAAGCAAAGAAGCCCACATCCTCAGTGAGGTTGGGCAGCAGCCAGAGGTGATGCCGCGAGAGGGTGAGCAGCCACACCAGACAGAAGACCACGACGCGCACCACGGCCAGCGCTATTATCATCACCAGGAACGCCGCTGCCGCTATACTCAGGTAGTATACACCCTTCCTGGAATTATATTTACGTGAATTATTATATTTTATTAACTACTAGCTGTTGCTCGCGACTCTGTCTGAGTGGAGAAAGTAGCCTTTAGTTTTCCAGACTATCCTCTACATATATGGCAAATTTAATTCAGCTGTTTAAGCTACAAACTGTAACAAATAAATATCCATCTCTCCAAACATTTATAATATTAGTAAGAGCGCGGGGTGTGTGGGGTGTGCAGTGTGTGCGGGGTGGACAGAGTTTGGGGTGTGCGGGGTCGACAGTGTGCGGTGTGTGGGGTGGGCAGATTGCGGCATGTGCGGGGTAGGCAGAGTGCAGTGTGTGCCGGGTTTTTCTTTAGAGGGATAAATGCTTTACAGCACCATCAGACATGGGAGCTACATGCCTGGTGTGTCGGGCTCAGGCTCATTAGTATTCACCTAACCTAACATGACAGAGTGTATGCGGGATGGGCAGAGTTAGGGGTGTGTGGGATGTTCAGAGTGTGGTGTGTGTGGGGTGGGCAGTGTGGTGTGTGAGGGGTGTACAGAGAGCGGTGTGTGCGGGGTGAGCGTACCTGACGGTGGCGGGCCAGAGCGGGAACATGCAGACGCCGATGGTGCCGAGCACGACGAGCGCGCCGCACACCCAGTAGTACCAGGGCATGGGGTCGTACAGCCATACGAACGCGTCCGCGCTGTCCAGGAACACCTGCTCCATGTGCATCTCCAGCCGTATCTTGCGCTTCTTCTTCTCCTTCTCTTTCTCCTTCTCCTTCTCTTTTGTATCCTGGAATTGTTACAATTTATATCTTACTAATAATGTTTTGTAAACCAATTTGAGCTACAAATAACAATATATTACCACACTCCAAATTGCTAGCAACAAATAATAATTAGACAAATTGATGTTTGTTAGAGTTTGTGTAGCCTAAAATGTGGAATCGAATTCAATTAAATTTGGCGTAGACGTAAAGGATAAAACCACGCAGACGGATCGCGGGCGAAAGCTAGTCTATATCACTTTCTCCCTAAGCTTGAAATATTAGCGGTTAAAAATATTGTAAACAAAAATTACCTTTCCCTCACAGGCGCTGGCCTGGCTCTTTTCTCCATCTTTCTCATCTCCACTCTTGCTTTTCTCTGCTTCCTTCTTCTTAGACTTTCCCTTTAATTCTTGTTCACTGACGGGTACCTGAAATAACAAAAAAAAGATGAGCAAGAAATAACAATGTCTTTAGAACCGCGTCAGAGTCTTTTAACTTTTTTATTAAATGAAATATTTTTATAAGAAACTCACCTTCTTAGCTCTGTGGAATAGCTTATGAAGGAGCATTTGATGAAGAAAATCGGTGACTTCGATACGCGTTGTAAACGTCGGGTTCTTCCCCGTCGCCCATTTTGACGTCAGCAACGCGTCCACCGCCTTTGTGCCTGTCAATTGTTTCAAATTCTAGAAAGATCTACACATTTGGTCATGGAACGAAATTACGAATTACGCTTCATATTGACAACTCTTTCTTTTAAAGAGAACTGGAATAGCAATATTAATTTAATTCAAATAGTATGTAGGTTCTCCATAATTAACGCATGTTTATTGGGATATTTATGTGTTTTGATTACACGTAGCGAAAGCAGGCAAGAATAGATTGCTAGTACAGCCATTTATTAACATTCAAAAGCACCCATCTAATTTGGTGAATCTATACTTATATTATAACTAGCTTTCGCCCGCGACTCCGTCCGCGTGGAGTTAAATAAAAATCAAAAGTAAGTAGTCTATGTGTTCTTCCAGACTATCCTCTACATCTTTACCAAATTTCATCGAAATCCGTTTAGCCGTTTAGGCTACAAACTCTAACAAACATCCATCCATCCAAACTTTCGCATTTATAATGTTAGTATGATAAAGCGTAAACATACACATCTTTGTGGCGTAAGATGTCAGCAATCACAGGATATTTTTGAATTATATTTTTAATAAAAACCTCTACACTTACGTCACGCTTAAGGCTAAATATTTTCACGATATCAAACAAAGTTGTTAAATAAATTGGATAAAAACCCTAATGCGGGAAAGAGACCATAAGTTGCTGCCAACATCAAGATAGCAAGGTTGCCATGCTTTGTCATTGACATCTCATTTTGACATTTGCAATTGATAATTTGACACATGTAAACAATAAAATAAAATTTTCATAATTTGATGCGGATGAAGTCGCACGGGAACAGATAGCGTTCAATAAGAAAGCAATATATTAAAAATCTACATAAAGCGGTAAAAGCCACTGGATATGAATGAATCAATTTTCCTTAATAAAAGATCAATCAAGTGTATTGAAAACAGAATAAAGCAGTTGTTTAAACATAAAACATACGTAAACGATTTTTAATGTGTATATTTATAAACATGGATTTTACAAAATGCTATAAACATTGTTTGTAAATCAAATGGAATTTTATGTAAGCAACTTTGATGCTTTTTGGAGCATAATAATTTTAATAAAACAAACACATACTTTATCTAAATTAAACCATAGATTTAGATGCAAATTAGGTTAAGTTTTGATACGCTATAATCGAGAATTAAACATCGAATAAAAATGTCTACCTGTAAAATATTCAACATGATGGTTCAAGAATTTGGTCTTCTTTGTGGGCACATTGGCCTTCAGCCACTTCGCCACAGCGTACTCCTCGCTGGTCGGCTTCTCCGAATCAGCCGCTTCACCAAACTCCTGAAAATTAAACATATATCATCTCCCGTACCTTATCCTACTCCCGTAGTTTTTTCATCCTCCAAATAATTTTATCATCCGTCATCTCAGTCACTCCCTTCTTGATCATGTCACCTTCAATCCATGCATCTCTTTCTGGGTCTACCTCTACCGGTTTACCACACTCATAACTAACGTCCTTCTTGTTACATGCGATTCATCGTTCATCACATGCCCATACCAGGCTAACCTTTTACTCCTTAATTTCTCAACCACTGGGGCTACTCTCAAACTTCCTCTTAAAGACTCATTTTGTGTCTTATAAAAAAAATCAAAATGTGTTTTGCCAGACTATCCTCTACATCTATTCCAAATTTCATCGAAATCCGTGCAGCCCGTTTAGGTTACAAACTCTAACATGCATCCATCCATCCACCTAAACCTTCGCATTTGTAATATTTAGTATGAAGATTTTTTAGTATAAGGTATGATATTTCTGTTTGGTATATTCTCATTTTCCGTACCAACACCTTTCTCCCTCTATTCTCGGACCGGTCGTCAATTTTTTTTGCTGTAAAAGTTGTACACTCTCCACTTGATATAAAAATTTGTATTTACGCAGATATAACCTTATGTAAGACGTTTGACCAGACGGCATTGACATTGACTGCGCGGCCTCCACTGCGCCCGCGCATGTTACGTGTTGCCGTCGCATTACCAATGCTTTCATTAACATAACTTATATAATTGGAACGTCGGTGGCTCAGTGATTTAAGCACTTGACTTGTAATCTACAGGTCTTGGGTTCGAATCCCGCCGCCATGTACTAATGTGATTTTCGATTTTTCGAATTTTCATATGTACATAATTTATCCCAAGTTCTTACGTTGAAGGAAAACATCGTGATGCCTGCACATATCAGCGAAGAAATTCAAAGATATGTGTGAAGTCAACCAACCCGCACTTGGCCCGCATGGTTGACTATGGCCTAGTCACCCTAACTTTAGGGTAGGCTCCGAGCCCCTCGGTGGGGACGTATAGTGAGCTGGTGGTAGTGGTGATATAATTGTCTTATCTATACTAATATTATACAGAGGAAAGATTTATATTTTTGTATGTATTCGATTCACGTAAAAACTACTGGGCCGATTTTATAAAATCTTTCACCATTAGAAAGGAAGTAACATAGGCTATATTTAGTTTTTTTTTTTTAATTTCACTCGGACGAAGTTTAAAGAAGTCAATATCTTTTTAACATAAACGATAAAGTCATTATTTTGTTCAGTTTACATCAACTGTGAAATCTCTCGATCACATTACTTTATTCATTGATACGCAAAAAATTGGCATCTTTAATAAACCTAACACGTTCCATGCCAAAAAAAATCGCCAAATCGATGGCAGTGACGTGTTTAAATATGAACCTGGAGTACTACAACACTATAAGAGTTTGAACTCTGATAGGTTTAATCTGAAAGTAAATACCGTGGGTATTACCAAATTTTCTATTTTAAGAAATAATACTTAAAACTATTTAAATACTATCATATGCGAGTAACAGTTTTGCAAGAATATATAAACTGCATTGATACGTGAAAGAAACTAGGTTAATTGTTGTTTAAACGCATATTTAACTAGCAAACATTGTCGCGTGCACTTATAAAGGCATTGTTATGATAGTCATATTATTTATTAGTTACTGTCTAATAAAAGGCATCTAATCTATTAAAACATTTGTGACCTTTGTGTATAATAGTATAAGTATAATGCTTGTAACCCAGAGGGGTAGCAGAGACCTTCATTTGGCGCGATCCCGATACACCTCTCACTTCATCTGCATTCATATATCTATCACATGTATACTGTTTCGGGAGCTATTGATGTTTTAATACTGCGCAGACGTCACAGATAACAGCTAGTATAAAACGTTATCTTTGTTTAGAAAATCAAACTTTTTAAATTACAATTTAATGCATAATTCTTAAGAGCATTACTGAATCCCTTGATAAGACCACTTAAAATCGGTTACTCGTAGCATTAAATAAGTATAATTTAGACATTCTTATCCTTTTAAGTACATTTAGGATCCGATACGAAAAAAGGTGTGTTTTTAAATCAATAAAAATCCCAAAATAAACACCGCTTTTATACGCAAGTAAAAGGTTTAATGTAAGAACGAAAAAAGGTTCACAACCTCACGAAAACGTAATGGAATTTACATTTTTTTACTTATTGGTATCGAAAATAAAGGCAAATAAATTCGGAATACGGCAGATACATATTCACAAATCTACAAAACGTACATAAATAGATCATAAACTATGAGTTTTCATTATAGATAATTTTGTACAGTCAGCTGCACAAATATACTATCAAAACTCTAGAATAGAAATTGTCTTATGGCCGGTTTCTAGCTACATTTAACCATTCGATAGCGTATAACTTAATGAAATACGTCTCCGAAGTACGTAACTTGAGTTTTACTCCCTGTGGTGTATTGACATACATGTAGTGTATTGAATACAAGTACGGCAATGTCTACGGGTAGTCTGTAGACGAGAGCAGTGCTTCTCTCTGCCCGGCTCGCATGCTGACGCGGAGATTCGAGTGGTGTGGTGGAGCAGTCGTGTACCGTGATCATGGTGCTATCGTATTACCAAGCGAAGTGTATTATTCTATTTCACACGTGTTAAAATGAAACATAACACTACCGTTAAAACTTAGTTTAACATAGTACTAATGATCACTACGTTATGATTATGATAAAGTAATAAGAAACCACAGCAACCTAGCATTTGACACATATTCATAGTCGGATGCATACGGATACTTGCTTACTTATTTTTGAAACCAGACGTATACTAGTCTGAATTATACAAAGTTATAAAGCTGACTGTACATATTGCCTTCCTTTTTAATAACATCGAAAAAATGTGATTTAAATGTTTCTATACAGGTGTTAGAGCAGTGGAAACACAAGGTTACACCAACAGGTTTTTTTTATTTTCTAAACAAACTATATGCTCCGAGTCTGAAATCTAAAGCTACATGTCGAGTCATTTTCTGGGTATTATTAGACAAATTTTGCTACTAGACAGAAAAAGCAGCAAGAGGTCCTTCCTAGTATTATTTTCTGATTAGGAGAATTAATTTCGTGTAACATAGAATATATAAAAAAGGACGGATAATTAATATAGATATTACGATGTGTTCTGAAGTATTTCAATCATTTTCATTCATAAATCTCATTTTGTCTTCAACTTAAGCGTTGTAGCCTAGTCTTGCCTATATAAGGTGTAACAGAAAATTTTCCAAGTGCTGTAATCCCTTTAGTCTGAGCCCTAGCACGTATTATTTGTTGATGGTCGGTATATCTAACTAATAGCTTCATACGATTCATCATTGTGACTTCTTGTAGCAACGAATTGACCGATTGTGGTTAATTTGACGTTCAATTTGTACTCTGAAACCTGACTTTTTCGAGGATCAACCACATACAAAGTTATACTCCAGACTTTGCTTTATATTTATGCCAAATTTCAATAAGATATTAAACCGTTGCAGGATGACCGAGTTACCATTAGAAAACTAAATTAATGAATTCCACGGGAACTCTAACTATACACACACTGTACACATGGGTATTAGGTTCATCCCCGGGAAATGACCGGTTCCCGAGGGATACGTAGATTGTTATTTATATAGCTCGTATGTTTTCTAATACCACGCGGACGAAGTCGCTGGCAACAACTAGTTTACAATATGAATAAGAAGAAAATTTAGACTTACAAATTCCCCCATGCCTGACAGCTAACTGTGACACCGTTGACACACGAATGCCGTCCGGAGCGCTGGTGAAAGTGTGCCAGATCTACTTATCCACGATCGACACGACCGCCTCCCACTTAGGCATACAATCGAATGACTTAGACCATCGGTATGGCGTACCTTTTGCATTTGCATTTCGAATTAAAAATAAAAAACGAGTTGTATGCTCCAAAAACGCCTTTTAAAGGGTCTTAAATTTGCGGACCGAGATACCGTAAATCGCAATTAATGAGATAAAAAGTATTTTCGTAACTTCAGTACAAAGATTTTAATTCCCTTACCTCTTCGGAGTTTAAAATAACAATTCACAGAAATGGATCGAAGTAATCGAAGTAGAATTTCGATGTTAATATTTTTATGTAGATAGTTTAAAATGATAAGAACATCTCGGTTCCCTGCATTTCCGCGCCTTCCTGCGCTAATGACGCTCAGCTCTAAATGGGGTCACGGCCGCGCTCAGCGCAGCTATCGAACTGCAGTTGTGTCTTCAACGCTCAACATTCAAAATGGCCTCTTTAAAACGAAACAACTAAGAGTAAGCATTCATAGCTAATTTAGGGACGTAGTATTAAAATTCCTGTACGGCACGAATTGTTCATACTAAAAACATTTCGCGCACGAGATTGTACGTAACATATTATTTACCGATAGATTGAACGAAAAATACAGGTCGTTTGACCGACGCCCTCCAAAAGGTCGCGAACAACGGCCTATCGACCTTGAGCCTAAAGGTTAAACTCTACCGAACTTTAGTGATGTGCCTGGATAAAAATACTGAACCTAGAATATTCGCCATATTTATATTATCCACATTATAAAAGGAAAACTCATATTCAATTATAAAAAAAACGCATCAATAAGCCTTTTTAGACTAATTTATTACTTACTTAAATTTTGTGTTCTAAAAAAATGACTTGGAAATTATTGTATTTACCTCTGGTATAATTAGGCTCGTAAATACACCTTTTGGTCTTACCTCTTGACAACTTAACACTATTTAAAGTGGGATCCGATCATTTAGAGGGTTTTAAATTATGTTATCTTTGATCAAACCATAAGGCTTGTATGATCGTGAGAATTTGCTTTTCTTGAAATTATTTTTAAGAGTCATAGATATCTATACATTTGTTTTTAAAACAAGATGGTGGTCGATAAGTTGCCGACGATTTATTTTATTTTATGTATCTTTTTAATTGGAAAATTTTTATACTGTTTCACATCACTCAAGATTTAGGAATAGCTATGATAGTGTAGACTTTAGCCCATCACTAGGGACTTGTAGCTTCAGACATACTTTACATAATTGCAGTAACATTAATGAATACAGATCTTAAGTGTCATGAAAGACACAATATGTCTGTTGATTTGGTCCAAAAGTTGATGCCACAAAACGCAAATTTGAAAAAAACTTATTAATTTATTTTTGCTTAATAAAATATAACTATTACTTGTAACTTTGGCCGCGTGAAATTAAAAAGTAATAAAAAATGTAGCCTATATTACTCACAGATAAATAACCTTTCTAACAATGAAACAATTTCTAAAATCGGCCAAGTTTTTGAGTTATTACAATACATACAAAACACAAATCTTTCCTCTTTATTTTTTTTTATTTCTTTTCACTCTTTAATAACTTTACTTAGTCTAAAAATTGATTATAACAAGTCCATACCATAGGGGTATAAAACAGGCATGAAAGGTAATTAAGACTCGGTTTCCCGAACTCTTATTTACATTTAGTATTTTGACAGACTTAATACTTACAAACTTACAGCCTTACAAATAAATGAAGTTAAACTTAGTTAAAGTTAACTTCATACCACATTTATTTGTAAGGATATTAATGTTTTGTGATTTTAAACCTTTTCACCCTTTATCTGGTTACAAATTTAGTACATTTTTCAATTTGCAAACTAAAATATTGACTTTTGATACTTATTGACATCCCAAGGTTTTGCAATTTCGGTGAAGTTAAGCAGTGTTTTTGTGAACAGAAGATAATAAATACAAAGCACACAGTTGAAGTATTGTGTAAAGTGAAAGTATAGAAAAAATATTACATTTTTACAAACTATACTACATTTTTTGATATTAAACGTAGTTGAAGTATGAAATTGTTATACCGGAAAACTGTGTAATATAAAATAATTTGCTGAGATTAAGTGTAAGTTTCCATTTTGAAAATATCTATATGAAAATTTTTATTTTAGAATTTTCACGGAATTTGTCAACCATTAATGACAAACTGGAAAACCCAGTAACACATTACTGTTATAAAATCAATTAAAAAACCAAACAAAAACCTGACATTAGTTTATAAATATTTTTTAGACATTATGGAGATCAACAAATAAAGAATTATTCAACTAAATAAAACAGAAAGGACAACCAAATAAACTAAATCACTATTACCAAAAGAATATAAATTAAATATTGTTACAACCCCTCTAAACTACTGTAAACCAAGTGTAATAAACAATAATTATAACTTGTGCAACCTTTGTGGTTCACTGTACACAAAACTACTAAGTGAAAAATCAAATCAAATCAAACCTTTCTTTTCTGAAACCAAACAAAAACAAACATAAGTCTACTATTTTTAGTCTGTAATATTAAAAAAAACTTAATGGTCTTCGTATTTTAAAACAAAACATAGGCTTTTAATTTAAGATGTTTAAATTAATACCTATCATCATAATTAAAGAAAACATTTGAACAAAAATAACACGTTGTATAGAATCGCAATAGACAAAAATGAAAATAACTGCGTCATTTTCACATCCATACGAACAATGGTTTTTCACGATGCATAGTGAAAATTCACACCGAATTTAGGCATTAAGCCAGACATAATACAACTTTATTTGAAAAATATAATAATTGCTCATGGGAGTGTATCAATAAAATTTAATAGAACAGTATTCATTAATTAGAGTCAATGATATAAGAAAGGACGGTAAATGCCTTACCTCTTTTCGCTTTTTAGTTTTCCTCTTCTCTGCCATTATAAAACAAACTTTGTCAACGTAGCGGTTTTCAGTATCTTGCTTACTTGTCTGAAATCTTGCTTTTCTCTCGACTCGGTTCTCAAAATGTTGCTGATTTTGGTCCTGTTGTGTTGTGACGGAACAGATTATAATATGGATTAGATAAAATTAATAGTCACGTCATTTTGTCTTTTTAAACAAGAAAAAATCGTTTGTGAAATATGTAAGTGATGAGTTAAGACAAGGAAAAACATGAAAACATAAAATGGCTTTTCTTAGTCTCCCTTTTACTAATAAATCCGTTTTATTACCAAGTTTGTAAACGAGACGAGTTAATGTCATTCTGCTGTCAGCCGGGTGTCACTGTCAACTGTCAGTTGCTTCTTGGTCTTTATCTTTGTACTTTTTTCTTGTTCGTTTCGTTTTTCAATCGTTCCAATGCGGGTGTTTGCTTTGCGCATTTTCTTAAACTCCAATTAAGTCTAGGTTGGACAAATGATTAGCACCTTAATGTTTTAGTCTTGCTTGTGATAAAAACGTGATCCACAGAAGTGTGTTTATGAAGATATAGTTTTATAACACTTAAATCACTTTCATAAATAATTATTACATCTTTATATCTAGATATCGCGCTATAAATATTTAAAGTGCTATTTCAGTGTTAAATATTCGGCGTTAAAAATGAATCAAGACAAATCTAATGGACATAAAATCGCACCAGGTAATTTTAACATTAGATCTAATCATATTTATTCCCAAAATTGTACAAATATCATACTGTAATGAAAAAGATGAGATTTCCTTCTGACTGTAATTCTAAATTTTGTTAAATAAAATCAAAAAGTTGTCCGTTTATGAACATCATTTTTTATTATATTCTTAAGTATAAAGATTGAAATATCAAAAATACAAATAGATTATTTTCTAAATATAATGTATTTTTTTAAATCACTAAACAAAAACGTGTATGTTATGTTTCAATGATCCAAGAGCCAGCCAAATTTATATTATGTTGTGTCTATTAAATGTTTTAAATATTAGATCTTAAATATGCAATGTATAAAATTAAATTTTGGTAATTGATAGAGCTGGCAGAAGTCCTCTTCTTATAAAGCCTTTGTAGAGTCGGCGTCACACATTTCACACCCACTTAGGGTCCTTCAAGAAGTGAGCCTATCATTTCCTCAAAGGCCGGCAACGCATCTGTAGTTCCTCTGGTGTTGCAGATGTCCATGGGCGTTGTTGACCACCTTGGTGTACACGCCGCTTGTTTGCCCCCTTTTACTATAAAAAAAAAAAAAACCCAATTACCCATTCTCCCAGTACTTGCGTCCTCTGTTACTGTCCACTTCTGTGGACCACTGGTGGGTCATGAACCAATGGTTGGGACCACCAGTGGTCTACCGTAGCACCTATCTAGTGGACTAGTCGAAGAAGAGAGGAGACTAACACAAAATTGATATTTCCTTTTTCTTCTCATTTTATCTGCCATCAAGACAAAACTTTAGCAATTTAATTACCTAACTATCTGTTGCTCGCGACTTCACCTGCGTGAAATTAAATTGTATGCCTATGTTAGTCACAGATACATTACCTTTGTAACATACAGAAATACAAATCTTTCCTGTTTATAACATTAGTATAGAAGTATAGATATAGACAAGCTTTCGCAAGCGACTCTGTCTGCGTGGAATAAAAAAAAACTGAATAGCTTATGTATTCTTCTGGACTATGCTCTACATCTGTACCAAATTTGATTGAAATTGGTTCAAATGTTTAGGCTACAAAGTCTAACAAACAACCATCCGTCTAAACTTTCGTATTTAGTATGATTGACAGAGGGTAATGTATAAATTTTGTTTTTATGTATGTAAGTTTTGTATATCATTCTTTAATTCAATCGGTAGTTAACACATTTGTCTGTGTTTATATTCATATCATGCGGCGGAACAGTGCCGTCTATTAATTTATCGATGTCATGCGACAAGTACCGGCCGTGTGGAGATCAAAGTTCAACTTACGTTTTTTGCTATCGCTCTATCGGACGATTAAGTTATAAACACAGGTGATTTCCGATTCCTATTATCGTTTAGATTGACAAGAAAAATCGATTAAAAAGACAAAAAAATAAACGTATGAAAATGACTCGAGTAATGAAAGAATGTAGACGATCATTAAGACTTTTTGGATTGACCCATTGTGTGTTATTTGCGAGGCATTTTATACGAGTAATCAAGAGCGTCATAAATCAATAAAATGAGAACGAAGTGGCAGATAACGGCTAATATACCTTTCACTAGAATGTGTAGTTAAGCATTGCGCCGTACCAGTCATAGCGTATTTTGTCAAGTCATTATGACCAAGTGTCTCAGCGCACGGAACATCGACTATAGAATAAATTTGACCTTACGAATAGACCTGTCAAATTATTAATCTATATCTATCTAAAATTGGAGTGACTGTAATATCAAAAGAAAAATACCAGATTTCGGGAAAATGTATTTGCGTTGCTAATAACGAAAATCGCATTTAAAAAATGTTTGTCCACAAGCCGCGTTTGTTCCGGGTAATCTCCGAAACGACTGGGCGGATTCATACGAGACTTTCACTAGAGAGTAGCTAACATGGATAGGCATGTTATAGGCTTTTTCTTAATTCTGCGGTGTCAAAATGGCGTAACGGGTGTTCCAAATTTGTGCTAACGAAGTTTGCGGGCGACAGCTCGTATCTATTAAGGCGTGCGCACACTTTAAACTATCGCGCTAAAGTTGTGCGATTGTCGATTGTTTCGCAGCTAATTCAACTTTTTAGTTGTACAACTAAAAATCTAGTAGTTTGCGCACCTCCATATGGTATATGGCTATTGGTAACAAAAAGACATTTTTGAAGACAATTTTTTGCAGATGTTTCGACAATGAATAAATGGTAACAGGTTTTACCTTATCAGTATGTTTGCTGTAATGCTGATACGAATTATCTTTGCCTATAACATTTATGTAAAACGTAAGGTCTCATTTCCCATTGAATATATCTGAATTACTGTTTTTGTTAAATTTATTAAACGTTCGTATATCTGATTATTTAATCTATACTTATATAATAAAGCGCAAACACACACTTCTTTGTTGCCGAAGATGTCACCAAACAGCATATTTTTGAATAACTCTTTCTTTTAATAAAAAGCCCTACACTTACGTTATGCTTTAGGCTATATGTTTTCACGCCGTTAAACTTAGGGGTAAATATTTTGGATAAAAACCCTAATGTGGGAAAGAGACCATAAGTTGTTGCCAACATCAAGAAAGCAAGGTTGCCATAGATTGACATCACGTCATGTCATTTGCAATTGGTAATTTGACAAATGTGAACAATAAAATGATTTTTTTTATAATTTTACGCGGATGAAGTCGCATGGGAACAGCTAGTAAGAGATATTTTCTTACAGTTTTATAAGGAATATATTTGTTATTCTACTTTTCAAAAAACATAATATTTAGTTTTTGATCATGGAAATTGTAAAAATTTTGATAAATTAATCAATTTGCGCCTTGACCTCTACTCAGATGTTAAGGCTCTCAACTTATTCAAGTGATTCTAAGTTGGTAATGAACCTGTAATCAAAGGTCAACAATTGACGTGAACAATAGACATCGCCAAAACACGGTTGAATTTTGCGCAAATCCTTTTCGATATCTACGAAGAAAGGGTTATGTAACACTTTTTATAGAACAGTAAATGTGACGAGAAGATCTAATTAAGTCTATTTTTTATTTAACTGGTTAAAAAATTACACAAACTTAATATAAGTTGCACGATTTTATGACTGACTTCCCAAAAGAAGGAGGTACTCAATTCGTCTGTATGTTTTTTTATGTGTGTAACGGCATAACTCCGCCGCTAGTGGGCCGATTTTGATAATTCTATTTTTTCTAAAAGGTAATGCTTGCAGGTTTGTCCCATTTTTTTGTTTGATTTTTGAAGTCAAAGACTATGACGTAGTTAAATAGTTTAGCCCAAAATCGCGAACGAAATTTTACGATATTATTTAAATTATATGTTAATAAAAACAAAGCATTATTAGATGGATAAATAGCGTGGAACCAACACAATTGGCACGCAAACAGTATTAATTCAAATTACGCAAAAAAAGATTTAATCAAACACAAAATCGTGTCCACCTTGGAAACATATCGAAAATCAAATGAACTTCCGCCACAGTATAATTAACAAGGTCAGTGGACAAGCAAATATGTACAGCGAATGTATAAAACAATTCCTGTAAAACGTGGCCAAAATCAGAACTAACAGCGTTAAGACAGCTGATTGGCAGATAATATACAGATCTGTAGCGGCTGCCAATCAGATTTGTGTGTTATCGGCAGTGTTTCCAAACCAATACGACTTAGGGTCTTTCAAGAACCGAGCCTACAATTTCCTCAAAGACCGGCAACGCATCTGTAGTTCCTCTGGTGTTGCGGATGTCCATGGGCGTCGTTGACCACCTTGGTGTTCTTGCCGCTCGTTTTCCCCCTTCTCTTAAATAAAAATATACATTTGTCTTTGTCGATCTATAGTGCCAATTCTGTTTTGACCTTCAATCAACGGATTACGGCTTCTGTTAATAGTTTTATCGGCTTATCGTATCATTAATTGTTATATAAATTCTTATTCTGTTAGTGAAAAACCTTTAAATAATCTGGGATAAGATTTTTTTCTAATTTAATTGCTGTTATCATATCTATGAGTTATATCTATTAGTTATAATGTTGCATCCGCGTTGTAGAATCCAATAATATTAAAAGATAGCATAGGAAGGTAAATATAATATAAAATGATAAGGCCCTTATGTACTACATATATATACATAGATACTAACACTTTAGATTAATGTTACGTAAATTGATATATACGTATAATCCAAACGAACTATTTCAGATTTACGTGTTGGTCTTCAAGTTGATGAAATAGAAATCCCTGTACCGTGGGGCCACGTCGCTGGACGATGGTGGGGCCCTAGGGACAAGCAACCGTTAATCGCTATCCACGGCTGGCAGGACAACGCCGGGACCTGGGACAACCTCATCCCACTCCTGCCAACGTCGACCTCCGTCTTGTGCCTTGATCTCCCGGGACACGGCCTCTCCTCGCACTATCCGACCGGAATGCTGTACTACATATTCTGGGACGGTATAGCGCTTCTAAGAAGAATAGTCAAACACTTCAAATGGAGTAAAATCAGTCTAATGGGACATTCACTAGGTGGCGCTCTGAGTTTCATGTACGCGGCATCCTTCCCGGATGATGTAGACAGGATCATCTGCATTGATATCGCCAGCCCCGCAGTGAGGGTTCCAGAAAACATGGTGAAAGGAACTGGCTGGTCTATTGATAAGATTCTAGAATACGAAACTTTGTCGGAAGATAAAATACCTTGCTACGATTACGAAGAGATGATAGATATTGTAGTAGACGCGTATAAAGGGTCAGTGTCAAGGGAGAACTGCAAAGTTTTAATGAAGAGAGGCATGGCTCCAACGCCCGCGCATTTGAAGAAGAAAGGATACCATTTTAAAAGGGATCCAAGGCTGAAGGTTTCTGGCCTAGCGATGATGTCATTGGAAACAGCATTAGCTTATGCTGCCAAAGTTAAATGCAAAGTTCTTAATATCAGAGCGGTTCCCGGACAGAATTGGGAGAGGTTAGATTATTATATGGCGGTTGTCGACAAACTTAGAGAAACCACTGACTTGACGTACGTAGAAGTGGAAGGCACACATCATGTACAATTAAATTCACCGGAAAATATAGTTAATATTGTAGAAGATTTCTTAGAAATGTACTAAGTGTTCGCTTAGGCTTGTTTCAATGTTGTGATAACTTGTGATGATGGGGGTAGTTAGCAAATTCGCACGATAAGTCGTTGTGCAACGACTATAAATCTAGTTGTAAGGGTAATTTTTAGGGTAATTTATTCATTCCTATTTAGTGACGTTAATAATGCTACAGCTATAATAAATTATTCACAAAGTTCTGCTATCACAATATTAGTGTTAATGCGTAGATTTAGGGAAGAAATGAAAATGGTGGTAATACAGTCCACTTTAGCATAAATACTAAATTTAATATGTTTCGTATATGGATATTGTCTCTTTGAAATTCGTTAATGGTTATCAGGTGTGGTTTATTCAGGATTTATCATCATCATCATCATCATCATCATCATCATCTCCTCATCCTACTTCCATAGGGTCGGCGCAACAGGTTTCTGTCCTCCACATAACTCTACCATACGTCATCTCAATCATCAGTTCCTTATGGATCATGTCACCTTTTACACAATCCATCCATCTCTTTCTAGGTTTACCTTGTTACTCCAAATATCTAATAACATTCTAGTTCCTTATTCTTTAAAATTATGATTCATAAAATTAGAAAATTTAGTATGAGAGACATAAATTAAAGAAATTAACTTCTTTTTAATTGTTAAGAATTAATTTATATTAAAATTTATGATTCTACAAAGCACTTGTAAAGTAATTATTTTTATGTTAATTTAAATCTTTGCAAATATCTACACTAATTAAATGTTTAAAAAAACTGTTTTACATAAGTACGAGTCTTTACAATAGATGCTAAAGTGAATAATAAATTTTGACTAGCTTAAAATATTTATTATAATAAAAATAAGATTATCATTTTAGTGTAGACATCGTTTAGTGGTATTTAATGGCATGTAATGATCAAGTGCCATTTATTTTGTAAGGCTAATATACCATAAAGCACTATAAATTCCAAAGACACTGATATACTAAAATATTTCTTTTCTTTGTTGACTTAAATCTGTTATTTTTTTATTCTTTAATTCAACTCCTATATTTATAGGAATTAAATTATTACATTTTTTACCTGTGACAATTATATTGACTTATAATAGATAAATTAAAAATAGACATAAAGCAATTACTCATTTAATTGCCTATTCAGTGCGAGGCCGATATGTTGTAAATGTCTGAACTTAGTATTGTTATAATAACCCGCTTGAAACAATTGTAGCTTCTAAAGCAAATATAGCAATATAAGATAAAAAAATTGTTTTATTTCATTGACAGTGGATAGCGACATCTGAGATTGCAGTAGTTATGGTAACTCAACTAATACGATGAACTGCAGATCACCTTACGATTATGAGTTAAGCAGATCAGTGAACAAGTTCCCAGATCCACTCAATTTGTAGTTCGTTGTATTTCGTGAGTTACTAGTCACTGGGAAGTTCGCGGCTTCTCCGCTCACTTTACGTTGAGCTGTCAGCTTCTACCTTAGCTGAGCTGATCTGTTGAACCAGTTTAGAGCTGACAGTGTTGGAAAAATTTGTTGAGCGTAGTAAGTTATACTAAGCAATGTAATTTATTCAAACAAAAAACAATGCAAAAGTAGTTTTTGGTTTCTAATGAAGAAGCTTTTGATGAAATTTCGCTCTTAAAAGAATTACATATGTAGATTCTAAAATATATTTTTTCCTGTTATTTAACACTTGTATTTTTTTATCTGATGCTGGTTTGTTGGTACGGTTTTGTTTTAATTTTGTGTGAAAATTATAAGGTATTTATTATTTTTATGTGACTGTTTACAAATTCATTTTTTAAGCAGTAGTCTTTTTAAGTCTTACTGCACGTGGTAAAATGGAGCGTAATTTATTGATACCAAAAGTGCTTCATCGTGATTGGTTAAAATTATGAGATCTTTTTTTTACACTTCGAACATGTAATAAGAACGAATTTTAGTAAATTCGTGATAAGTACCAATAAAACATTTGAATAATTTTATATTTCTTCCTGTAGTTTTGATAAAAACCGTAAAACACTTTTTCTTTAAGACTGAATATAAAAATGTAAAATCTACATAGATTTGTTTAACTATGTTTTCAATACATTCATTAGTATTCGAACTAACGGACACCCCGCTGACCTTTTTTAGTGTCATTATCCCCCAGTGCAGGTGCAAGATAGAATACAATTATAGTATTTTTTCTTTAATGTAGCTCATCGTTAATATAATTAGCAACAGACTTAAACTCTACCCCCTATAAATAAAGAATTCGGGTGCTATCGACGACTTTAACAAAAGGTCAGTAAACTTTAATTAATTCCTGGCTGCAGCAACTTTATATTGTGTGCACTAACAATATAAGCAAATAATTTTCAATTTTAAAAAATTGCCATCAAACTACATCAATCTTACAGACATGTAAAGATTCATTAGGTGAAAAAAACAGATAGTAGATACAACTTTAAGCGAACGCAATAATTTATGTTAAAAAATATCAATGTAATAAATTTCATTAGATAACTCTTTCCTTATTAATCGCTATTGATAACGCGTTGAATTTATTTCTGAAGCATCAACGCCTACAATGCTATTGGTAATGAATTGAATGACTAGCTAACTATGGATTAACGCTCGGTTAGTTAAACAAGATTACACTTGTACGATACCACATGGGATTCAGTATTAGCGTAATTATAAGTATTTAGTGTGTAATGTTCCTAAATCCGACTTTATTTTTGTAAAAAACACTTTTTTTTACTGAAAACACTAGAGGTGCAGATAAAAAAAATTACAAAAACTGTCTGTCAGTTTTCTGTCACAGTGACGTCAGATTTGTTTGGAAGTTTGTTCATTTGTCAGTTGAAGTATTTCAAAAAGTTAAACTTTGTAATTTTATCGGCTCCGAATCATTGAAAATATATTAACAGCTATGGACGACGCTCCTGTAAATAATATAAGGGAATCTACAAGAGAGATCTTGAAGTTGAACCGACGTTCTCATAGAAATGAAGTGAGTGATCTTCAACGTTCTATAAAAGATTTGAGGTATTTTTATATCATAAAGGATATATTCATTACTAACTCCCGTTAACATGAACTCATGGACATGAGCAAAACATGAAGTGAACTTTGACCCTTCTGTATAGTTTTTGATAATCTAGATTTATTAACAAAAATAGACAGAATTGGAGAAGTTTACTGGACCAAGCCCGGGCCCACCCGCGGCTGTAGTGCCTCAGATGACGATAAGATTCCTAAACAAATGATAATGTAGAGGTTATATATTGTATGTCCTACACAAGATGTCTGAATAGATTTGTGCTGATTGTGCTTTGCAAATAGAAACACACTTTTTGCTTGCCATTTTGGCAATAATACAGATTAAATTAAGCCTTTAAGTTGTCTTAGAAGTCCCATAATATAATATTTTTTGTTTCTTTCAGAGTATCACCAGAAAATATTGCGACAATAGTATATAACTTAAAATCAAAGTCACATGTTACAGTTGAGAATCTTCAAATACTTAAAAATGCTTTAATTGACGATGAGAAGAACATTGAAGTTGTTTTAAAATGTTACGGTGCTCTGCGAAGCTTAGTAAGGGAATTAACAGGTGATTTAAAGAGTGTTTTTATCTGTATTTTGGTGAATAAATATTACAGTTCTACAGAAAAAATAATTTAAAACATATACTTACCTATACATTGTCTTCTGACCAAATAATACATTTGATTTCTAGGTAATAATGTCTCAAAGCAATGTGCTGCAGCTGGGTGTTGCTGCAACCTGGCATTGGGTGACTCTAGAGCCTGCACCGCTATAGCAAAAGCAAGTGGATCATATCTCACTGTACTACTTGATAATCCTACTACAGAGTTAGCGGTAAGGAGATATTCAAAACTCCCGTTATTAGACTGCCTGTACTAAGATCACCTTTTAACCCTGAATGTTTTGGTACCACTGGTAGCATTTTCAGTTTCATTTTTACTATAAATGTATATACTTGTATATAGTTTGATTTTGCCCTGCAACTTGTTTGTCAGTACTGGCTTACCATATTTTTATTATACTTAGTAATAGTTAAAAGCAATAATTCAGATATATTCTAATAATAAGAATGACAGAAGGTGCAAACAAGTAGCAAGAATACTGTGGTGATCGTTCATGCCCATAGACATCTACAATACCAGAGAAACAGTTTCTGAAAGTACATAGTTTGTCTAGAAATAATTTTATTGCATCAGATTTGCATAACACCCACATGATTTTCTTATATGTTTCCAGATGACATGTGCTTGGACATTAGGCAACTTGGCAGGGTCAGGACCTAAAGTATGTGACATACTTGTCGCTCAAGGTGCAGTCGCTAAACTCTGCAACATGCTGCAAATTCATAATGAGAATATTCAAGATGCCGCAGCATATGCATTACTGCACTTTGCTTATCATATGGAGGATGATTTTAAGTCAGTTTCCATTTTGTACTAAATATCGCCCATGTTTTTGTCTATGGAATTAAAAAAAAATCGAGGTTAGTAGCCTATGGGTTCTTCCAGACTATGTTCTATATCAATGCCAAATATCTTTGAATTTCAGTTCAGCAGTTTAGGCTAAAAACTAACAAACATTCATCCGTCTTAACTTTCGCATATATAATATTAGTCAGATTAATATTATATTTTGCTATAGGTAATTGTACCTTATCAATTTCAGACATGAATACCTTCAAAAAGTATTAACTGCTTTGTCAAAGTTAGAGGTTAATGCAACCACAAGTCGATTGTCATTCACTCTCTCCTGTCATGTGGATTTCAAAGACAATATGCCAGAGGAATTAATAGACAAAATGCTGGCAACATTGAAACAAACTGTCAAAATACACTCTGAAGATTGTGTACAAAGCCAGTGTAATTGTGAATTACTATATGCAATAAGGACATTAGCAAATATGGATGTTGAAGTTTATGATGTTATATTGAATTATTTTGTACAAAATAATCTAGAGCAAGCTCTTTTGGAAGTATTAAACAAAGACAGTGGTGCAGTTAATGAGTCATTATTATGGTTGTTAGGAAATTTGTATAATTATAGTCCTAGTAATGAGTTTTTTACACATTTATCAACAATGTAAAGTTTTATAAGGAATTTACGTGTTTAATTTAATTAGATTACTGTCCTCTGTCCTGCTTACCTTAGTTAAATAAGCGTTTAGAAATATACCTAAGGAAAGGTTAAAATAAAACATGAATTGAGTCGCAATAAATATATTAATATATCAATAATTATAGTTTTATATAATTTAATAATCGGATTAATATCGATAAGTCTACAAATATAGCGTTTTAAAGGTTTACAATCACTCTCATAAATGTAGCTAAGGACTAATTTCACATTAGCGGCCCAAAAATTCTTTCTCAATAATTTGAGAAATAAATTGGAATGATCACAAAGTTTTGAGATACAGTGCAATACTACATAGAGAAAGTTCATTATTATAAAAATTATATTATACAATTTAATGGATACATATAAAATACAAAAACTTTGTTCAACATCTGATATACCAAGTTCCACACCTCTTTATTACATAATCTTTGTCGGTCTATGGTTTTTAAATACAGATTACCTAGAAACTTTTACATTGAAACGTAATGCCGCTAATGTGAACATTTTTTTATCTATGTCGAGACATTTCCGCGCGTTTATAACCTTGTTCCTTTTTTTAGGTTATACATATTTTCTGACAGAACTGCAATAGTCCATCTGACCGGCCCAGACATTCTAGTTCGACTATAGTTCAAAAATTATCATTTCTGCGGAATACTTGCGGCAGTAAATAGATTACTTTGGAATGATTATCATACTATAATAAAGGAAAAAGTTATTGAGCACATAAAATAATTATCGAATATACGTAAAAAATGGGTGGAGAGGGAAGGCATATGCGTGATAAACGATTGCTCTTATTCCAAACGATTCCTACAAAATTTGATAAAATCAGATTTTTTTAAAATACATTATATTGAAATTGTTATTTCTATTATACAATTGACATCTCATAAGTAGTTTTGAAACTTTTCGAGAACTATTTATTACCACATTTGTGTGTGCGTTTCGCTAATTTCCGTCTACGTTGATCTCTAAAGCCCTTCGTACACAATGCGGTGTAAATTTTCGAAAGCTGGCGATTTTAGTCGTTGACATTTCTATTAGTCATAACCAGTTAGGAACAGACGACTCGCGTCGACGACATGCGTACGAAGCAAACAAGGCCATAGTCTCGACGCAAGAATACAATATTAGTATCAAAGATTTACATTGCTTTGTGTACGAAGGAGCTAACAAATTACCAACGTCGATATATTTCACCATTTAAGTCTTTTTAAATTTCCTATTTGAAATAAGAAACAAAAAATGGCACCAAACAAGTTAACAATAATTAACGACAGATAAAAAAACAATACATCTTTGATCGTAATGTCATTATCTGACAGCGCGGGAAAAAATAATTGAAGTTTACTTAAAAGGTAACGTCGATGTGTTCAAAAACAGTTTAAAAAAACTGCAGAATAATCATGAAATCATAGCAACAAAAGTGCATTACGCAGGTAACACTGTCTATACCAGACTACGTAAATGCATCTATGAAAACACACTATTAAAATGGTATTAATTCAAAGACGTGGTGTTCATCATTGGTCTATCATCATAGACCACCGACCTCTAAAACCGCTGGACTTAGAAACGACTGTTTATTGTTCCACCTTAAAAGCACCTCTGCCTCATTAGTTCGAGTTTCCACCACTGATACTATAGTGCCAAAATGGAAATCAAATAGGCACAGTTGCCACAGAGTATCCAAGTACCAGAGAGTGGATAGAGGTCAGTGTCATAGATGGATAATGTGACATCTGTTTTGGTAGTGTTATAGGTTACGTGTGGTCTGTGGCGTGCTTGCGGTGGTGGCGGCGCGGGCGGGCCCCCAGCACCGCCCACACCCCCCACACCCCCAGCACCCGCCACGTTCACTGCAAATCGCATCGACCTGATATCAATGTACATACCAATACACACTAACTAAATGAACATATACAAATTATTAGATATTAATAATTCATTAGGCATGCGATGACGTCATAAATATGGTCGAAAACGGTTGAAAGCAGATAACAGCGTATGAGCCAATGGAATAGGCCTCCAGGTGTGGACCGATGCGTTGAAATTGTTGCCAACAATATTATGCAGATCATGGTAATGACATTCTTTAAAAAATAGATCTATAATTGTTGCTGTAACTTATACCAGACTGTTTTATAATGGTAAATTACGTGTTAATGTAATACAATGACGCGACACGCCAGGGACGGACTAAGACCCTCTTATATGGTACATTTAGTATGGAGGTAAAGCATGACATTTTGTATTTAGTATTTACTTTTAGTATTGTATTAATTTACAAAATTTAATATGTTGCCAATTTATCGTTTGCATTTTCTAAAATCGTATAATTTAGATGGTTAAGTTATGAAATTATTTTTTGTTAAAATAACTTAGTATTGCCAAAAGAATGATTATTTTGTGTTAGTATTATTATTTTTGGGTGGGTTTGATTAAAGCTGTTATTGCTAAATTGATTCCCACAATTTGGCGGCGTGGGGATGATATTACACAAGCTTATTGTCATCATATTGCCTCACCCTTTCCGTGTGGTATTATTTTTGTAACCACAATTTTCAACTCTGGATACGTGGCCATAGAGTTCACTTTTGTTTTATCGTTCTTTTTCGATAAATTGTCAGTGCTTAACTCTTTTAAACGGGTCTGTTCTGAAATAAACAAAAATGGATACGTTCCTAACAATAAACAATGTCTAATTTGCGTATTATTTTAAAACACGATTTTATAATTTAGAATTAACCAAGTTAATTGAAAGTTGACCCTGGCAACTTCAATTACACGCAAACGATAGATTACATACACTATTATAAATAACAATTAAATAAGATATAAACAACCTCAATAAACTATTGAAAATATGTCTTATTTAGACCTGTATCGCCCTTTTTTATCTAACGCCCTGGGCGCTCAACAACCGCGCCTCACCCTAACTCCGGCCCTGTATTTAACTCTACAACCTTTTAAGTTCTTGGATTTTATATTTTTTGTGTAATGGTGGTTGTTGACTGTTGAACTATTGTTTCAAAAGTGTAATTATTTGTGTAAACGTGTAGTGTATATAAACTCACCATGCGATTCTTCCCTACTGTGTTGTCCGCTGTGTTTCCCTTTGCCCGTATCACCATTTGTCACTGACGATTTTTTGCTTTTATCATATGCGTAATTTCTGCCGCGTGCGTGCGCTGAATATAATCACAATTTACACTATAACCACCATATTAGAAAGAAAGAAGTATAGAGAAGACCAAGCATATGTAAGATAAAGAAGAAAGTGGGCGTCGGAAAGAGGATGGCACAAGAGAGGGAAGAACAGTTTATAGATCTTAAGAAGAGAAAGACTTCACACTACATTATACAGAACACATTCTATACCACTAAAACTTTTTGCTATGAAAGTTAAGTCCAGATGGCAGTGAAAGTGTTATCAGAAAATGGTCTTTTACTTAAACCTCAAATACTGCTACATAAAAAAAACATTGGCGTATTTGGTCCTACTTGGTGACCAATTGAGGTCTAAAATATGGTTAAAACGAAGGAATCTTTTGAGGGACAAATGGTAAAGCCATATACTTACGATTGGCAAAGATAGTAGCTCTATGTGGCACCAACTCGGGCAGTGCCAGAGGCCGCCGCCGCCCCCCGCGCGGCATGTCCCTGCAAACACTAACAATTATACCAGGATTTTGTCACTACCAATACTAGCAAAAAAAAACACGACTAAGAAAACTGAAAACAAATGGTTTAGTTAAAAAGAACATAACACTATAAACAACTATTGAAAGACGTTTGCTATACTAACTTCCCATGCGGCTTCTTCCGTATGACATTATGTAAACTTTCAATTGCAAATTTACAAATTTACATCACCAGCTCACTATACGTCGCCACCGAGGGGTCGGAGCCTCCCCTAATAAGGGGTGACTAGGCCATAGTCAACCACGCTGGCCCAGTGCGGGTTGGTTGACTTCACACATATCATTGAATTTCTTCGCCGATATGTGCAGGTTGCATCATGATGTTTTCCTTCATCGTAAGAACGTCGGGTAAATTATGTATATATGAAAATTCGAAAAATCGAAAATCACATTGGTACATGGCGGGATTCGAACCCAAGACCTGTAGATTACAAGTCAAGTGTTCAAACCACTGAGCCACCGACGCTCAATTGCAAATGTCAAAATTAAATTGCACAAATGACAACAAAGGCCTCTGCCATTTATCGTTACGATAGCAATTTTGTTTCTTTGCTGGGATTGGCTAACAATTTTTGATCCCTTTGACAACTTTTTCCAATTTAGTCACTGTCTAAATTAAATAGCGTAAAATCGCCTAAAGCGTATCATAAAGTGTAGATAATTTATTAAAAAAGAATTATTCAAAAACATACTCTGATTGCTGACATCCTACATAACAAAGAAGTATGTGTTTATACAACTTTAAACTGTCGTGGTTTTTACAAATATAATGTTCGTAAGATACGGGTAAATCTTACGAACATTATATAAGTATGTGTTTACGTTTTATTTACAAGTATGTTGCTCGCGACTTCGCCCGCGTTAAATTAAATGACTAGCCTATGTTACTCATTCGTAGTTATTTAATGATGAAAGAATAGAAATCATTCCAATAGTTTCTGAGTTACAATACATACAAAAATACAAACCTTTTCTCTTTATAATACAGTAGAAACTCGATAAGTTAAAGTCCAAGGGAAACGCAAAATATTTTGAGTTATAGAGGTTTTAAGTTATCAAGGGTCTGTTATAGATATTTTGGGCTCTGATAGGAAGGGAACATATTATTTTATGAAGTTATAGAGGTTTTTATGTTACCGAGATTTGAGTTATCCAGGTTCAGTATTAGATTACTTACTCAAGCAGCGTGTCGACCCAGAAGTCCTGCATGGGGGTGAAATTATAGGTGTTCTGGAAACCGAAGCTGTCAAGTCCACCAGCGCGCACCGTCGCCTGCAGGGAGTTCTTCATACACTGCAGCTGTAAGACAACATAACTGCTATGTTTTATCATTCATCTCTTTCATACACTTTGAAGAGACAGAGACAGCAAGTCATGACGTCAGAGATTTGGGTACATTGTTACGGTGTTAATACTAAAGGATAAGGGGATCTACACACTAAAGCTTATTTTACTCAGATAAACTGTTTATGAAATTAAAATTATATTAATAATTAATACAAGTACATTGTTGAAAAATATAAGGGGGAAATAAATAATGCTACAAAGCTAATACAAGGTATAATAAGATCAAATTGATATTAAAAATTAAATACATTACAAAAACTATATAATTTGTAAATACGATCGTCCGTCGCAATCCGCCAATTATCTTTATGTATATATATGAATTAATAGGTGCAAATACATATATTAAAGTATATGTTGCGCTAACTTATATGTTAATTTTTTAAGTTTTTCATGTGTGCCAAGATGAAGTTAACATCAAACCTATTGTTATATATTAAAATGTACATATAAATATGAGTACATAAGTGATGGTTCTTTTATACATTATGTATTTTTATGGCCTATCACTTATAGTTAAGTAGAGCAATATTAACAAAATTAGTATTCAATTTTCATTTAACTAGATTTGTTAATGACACACTATAAAGAAATTATTGTATTTTAGCGTAAAATGACCATTAGCGCAATCGTAGTCAAAGCGCTGTGTAGCGACGTGTAGCACTGCATTATGAACACTAAGTCACATTAACTGGTAACAGTAGCATGCGAGGGAAATTTAACTATCAGGTGCTTTCTTAGTTCATTGTGCCGTCATTTCACGCTATTATTAATGTTGTTGGGCTACGTAGCTATACGAGATTACTACACACAAGATGTGACGTAGCGCTTTAATAGGCAACGTAGGGCTAAACGTGACGTAGCTTACCAAAGCATCTCGTAGCACTGTAAAGAGTAGTGTAGAAGGAGTAGTGACTTAGCACTACAATAGACACGTAGCTCGCGGTGTTACGCAGCACTACAAGAGAGACGTATCTTCAGTTGTGACGTAGTACTCCAAGAGACACGTAGCTCGAAGTGTGACGTAGCAGACCAAGAGACACGTAGCTCGAAGTGTGACGTAGCACTTCAAGAGACACGTAGCTCGAAGTGTGACGTAGTAGACCAAGAGACACGTAGCTCAAAGTGAGACGTAGCACTCCAAGAGATACGTAGCTCGAGGTGTGACGTAGCACTACAAATCACACGTAACTCGAAGTGTGACGTAGCACTTTAACATAGACGTGGCTCGAGGTGTGACGTAGCACTACAAAATACACGTAACCCGATGTGTGACGTAGCATTACAACAGTCATGTAGTGGTCGTAATGACGTAGAACAAGTGACGCGTAGCTTCATTTGTGACGTAGCATTACAAGAGTCACGTAGCCCTAGTTGTGACGTAGCGCTACACAGCGCTTCGTATTGACGTTAGGGCGCGAGGTGTGCGCGCGTTGCGGCGTGCGACGTACGTGTGCGTGTCGGGCGGCGGCGCCGTCGAACAAGAGGTTCGTGACCGCGCCGCCCGGGGCCGCCGCGGCCGCCGCGCCGGCGAGTACCTCTCTGCGCTGGCGCTCGGCGTCGCCGCGCAGCCGCCGCACTAGCCGCTCCGCGTCCGCCAGCCGCGCGCGCAGCGTGCCGCGGCTCTCGCCCCCGCCCACGCCGCCCGCCTCCTCCCCGCCCTCGCCCTCGCCCCCGCCCCCACCCCCGCCCCCGCCTTCGCCCGACCGGCACTCTAGAGACTTCAACTTCCTATAATTTGAAATTGCTTTTACTTACCTAACCAAAAACACGAGATAGTTGGAATACCTACTGGCACTAACAGTAAATTAAAAGAGAGACAAAAGTACCAGGGAGACAGAAGTGAGTGAGATATAAGTGTGAGTACTCAGTGAGTGCGTCGAGCTGCTTCTGCAGCTGCAGCGCGCGCGCCTCCGCCGCCCGCGCCTCGCCGCGCGCCGCCGCCGCCTCGCGCTCCAGCCGGCTCACGTCCACGCGCAGGGACTGCACCTCCTGCGCACCAAGGACACTCACAACCGAATCACAAACACTTCGTGTCCCAAATACCGCTTACAATCTGTCAGGCGTCAAAATACGAAAGTAACTTGAAGTTTAAACGTGCCCTTATTATCTAAGACGCTGCTACATATTAAAATGTCGTTTCAGTATTCAGCCGTCAGAATCATTTTATGGTTGTGTTGTGGCATTTCTTAATATGTGGACTTCAAACTGCATATCTCTAAGAAGGTAAATCCATTCTACTACATAATAACATGCTTAGTTACCTCGTTAATCTCCGCTGGTTCCTCACCGACTGTAGCGACGGGTTTTGGTGCAGTATCTTTGTTGAAAATCAGTTGGAACTGCAGATCTGTAATAGACAGGACAACCCATATAATTAAACATGCCGATGACGACGCGAACTCGGGGAAGACCACATACACTTAGCAGACGACGATCCAAAAGGATATGAACTTGACGAACAAGCCTCTAAGATTCGTGCTGTCTGGAGTCTTAGGACAAGGAAGACCGACCCCAAATAGTTGGGAAAACACGAAGATAGAAGAAGTTGTCATAAGATAACTAGTTTGGAGAGATTTTTCACATGATATCCAAATTCAATGGAAGGTGACTCCGGTTAATCTTGTATGTCTTATATTTTTCGTAAATTCACGCATTTTGTATTTCAACGTTGCAATTTAATTATGACAGTTAACTGTTAATTAATAGAACATAATTATAAATTTAAGGTTCTAATTAGACTTTATTATTTTTACGTTAAACAAATATTTATTTAATAGAATCGGATACTGATTTAATATTTTATCACCTTAGTGTGATAGCACCTTTAGGGACGTTGATTCTCCAATATCGTAAAAGCGGGTGATATCATGCACTTAAACAATACAACTGCAGCTCGGTAACTCGAGGTGAAATGATTCATACTCCAGCACCCACGGTCGATGGAATCACCGGTTTACACATTACTATGACAGTTTATTAAAAAATATTGCTTTCAACCGAAAAAAAATTTACAAAATATCATCATCCCTCTAGTTTCGTTTAAAACAGACATAAATCTACATTTCTGTACAGATATTTTAGAAGTAATCATTAAAATATGCGATATGTCCATCACTTTCACATCACTAACTGTACCCCGAAACAAAATCTGCCTACCCCAAAACTTACTAAAAGCGCGCACACTTTTGATTAAACTGTCGCACAATCTTTTTTTTTTATAACATAAGATGGCAAACGAGCAAGCGGCCACCTGAATCCGCCAAAATGGCGAAGCGACCGCTGTCCATAGACATTTGCAATTGCAGATGCGTCGCCTACCCTTATCCGACGGAGGAGGAGACGCACATAAAGAAGATATTTCCTCTTCCTATGCATCTCCTTCATCGTCAAATCCACTTCCCCTTCCCATCCTTTCATAAGAAGAGGGTGGTAAAGAGAAAGGGAATTAAATTAGGCCTCCGGCACCACACTCATCAGACGAAACACGGCATTGGTTCCATTTCACGCCTGTCTTCTGTACGGACGTGGTATTACACCGGGCGTGCCGGCCCATTCGTGCTAAGATGTTAAAGCGGGCACTACCACTGTCAAAGTCTTTTAGTCTTTAGTCCCGTTTTGATTCCTAAACTACTCGATTTTTAGTTGTGCAACTAAGAAGTTATATTATCTGCAAAACAATCTACAATCGCACAATCATTATGCGATGGTATAGTCAAAGGTGTGCGCCCGCTCTAATTTCACTTTTTTGTACCAAAATGCAAATAACTTACTCCAGATTTAATTACACAATTTGTTTGGCAAAACCAGTCAATTAGTCGGTTACGTTAACTCGTGCATATTCATTAGATTTTGATCCCATTTACAAACGTACTCGCGTTGCATAAAGCGTGCGAAGCGAAGCGTTCGCAATGGCTTCCGAAGCCCCTGTATATTATTGTAGAGTTTAGGCAATGGAAACTTACGATCATAACAGTTTCGTAATCTCGTAGCGTGAGTTAAGAGTGCCGTTACAAATGGTAATTAAATACTAAATACCTTATTCACGTAAATAAAAAACACAAATTTTTAAATATTACAAATCACGCTTTGCAAGCATTACATAAATACGGGAAGGTTGCTGAGATTTGTTATATACTTTCCTTTAAACTAACTTTGTTTCCTGTCTTAATATTGTTTACTAGCTGTTGTTAAATAAAAAATAATAAAAACATAAGGTATGTTACTCACTGATAACATAGCTTTTTAATGATGAAAGAATTTTTGAATTCGGCCTAGTAGTTCTTAAGTTATTTCAATACAACTAGTTATTTTACGGCTCTTACGTCTACTTTTTTCGGTGACGGCACCGACCAGTTTGAATTTAATATTTCAATACATACAAAAATACAGAAATACAAATCGTTTCTCTTTATTGTACTAGTATAGATAATCCTAATCTCACCTCGATTCCTTTCACGTAGCGCTTCAATCTCCGCATGCAGTCCACTTAGCATCTGCCGGTGCTGCTCCTGCAGGAAGCGAACGCTATGCTCCAGGTGCGCCACACGAGCGCCAGCATCACCTCCTACGAAGAACCCGCTAGATGCTGCTTCTGGTGGTGACTTCTTCACCTGGAACATCAAGCAAGAGTTTACTTATAGTCTGAATCCAATATTATGTAAAGGTGAAAGTGGAAGGTGTAGTCTTTGTTAGAAGCCAAGTATTGGGTTTAAATTGAGGACTATGCACTACAGAAATCTACAAGGTGGAGACACGTATCTGAGTTCAAAGCCCACTTCGGTTGCTACATCCTTCTAATTAGAAAATTATTGTTTGATGGAGTAATTTTTTCGGATGAGGAGGAGCTTTGAATGTGATTGAACGGGCTCTTGCATCCAGAAGAGATTTAAACATTGCTGCACAATTAATAAGTCATACGTACTTATATTAATAACTAGCTTTCACCCGCAACTCGGTCTGCTTAGAATTAAAAAAACTAAAAGTGAGAAGCCTATATGTTCTTCCAGGCTTTTTCAGCCAGTTTTTCCAACCAGTTTTTTCAACCAGTTCTTTCAGCCGTTTAGGCTACAAACTCTAACAAACATCCATCCATCTAAACTTTCGCATTTATAATATTAGTAAGAAGTAAGATAATTGAGTTTGTTAATTGAAAAAGGGCACTTTCTGCTACAAAAGGGGACAGCAGCAAAAAACTCTTCATTGTTACATCTAGTTGTACAGAACTCATGAGTTACTTGTTTCACATATTTCGTAAAAATATCACATTCCCTGTGAATAGACACTTTATGTTTATAAGAACTCAGTTTCAAATTCAAGAGGCACAAGTCAATAGACAAGCACATAACTATTCAATGAATTTGAATAAGGCGAAGACAAAGGAACGAGGTCGTATGGAATAGTTTCACTGAAACATCGCAGAGATATATTTTAGAATACGTATTTATTACATTTGTGTTTGAATTATTGTAATTATTAAAATCAAATAAATTGAATTGGAAACTTGGATAATCGTTATTCTAAAATATAAAATCAACTGCATGGATATTTATTCGAAATTGAAATTAATGCAATTGGAAAACCCCATTCTAATGTAGCATGGGTGTTTTCCCATCATGCCATTGACCTGCCATAGAAGCTGACTTGCAACAATGGTATTGTGTTTGTGAACATCAATTATATGCAATTTTACTGCAATTAAGATTATAGACGCATTGATTATATTGTAGTCTTACGTTTAAATAAAACAAAAGATAATCTTTGCAGTTGAAACTGCGCACTATGATACATACATACGGTTAAAAATTTATTCTAATAAGAAAGAACGTAAGTGTTATTATAATTGGAAAATTGTTACATTTTAGAAGATTACATGATAAATGGCAAAAGATTTAATAATACTTTGCGAGGAAAGGCGTTTGTTGAATTTAATTTAATTTAATTCCTGCTCACCTGCAGTTTGGTGAAGGGGGAAGTCGGCACGAGCACTTTGGAAGACATCGCAGCACGGAGCAATCAAGATAATATTGCAACAAATTTTATGTTTTGATCAAGTCGCGGCGCGCGCGCGACTGCACGCTGTACTCGGCATGTGCACACCAAATCAGAGCGGCCTTCAGCCGCGTAATAATTAAAAATAAAATCAAAACGAGCGCGAAAACACTTCGATTTGCAACTATTTCGGGGACGATGCGCGACCTTGAACCAGTAACCTGGTACGTTCGACCAGCGCGATGGATGCTCGCGGTCTGTCTGCATGGGTTATGGAGTGCGCGGCGTGGGGTGTGCCGGAGTCGCCGCGGGGGGTTGACAAGGCGTGCGCGGGGTGCAGCGCGGGGGTACGGGGGTGAGCTATCGATCGCACAGAGCTGTACGCAACCTGTGCGCTGAGTCACGGGGCCCGTCATTAGCCATCTGTGGCGCTCTGCCAACCGCCGTGTCCAGTTTTCATGACACCTTGCTGAAGGGTGATAGCTCATTTTTCTCAGAAAACACCGAATGGGTTTACATAGAAATTGAAGTTAAGATAACCCAGAATCCTAAAGCTCAGTAACTAGTTGGATCTTCTAGTGTTGTGGGTCCTATGTTTAATACAGAACCTGCATATGTCGTCGTTTATCATTTTTAGTCGACGGTTAAAAGACATAGAATCAACCTCTGAATATTAATTACATTTTACTATGTAAAACTGCGTAAACACTAGACATGCAGACATGTATTATAAAGATATTCACAGATCATGGCTGGAAAAAAAGTACGCTTGATTTTACTGTATTTACATTTGATTATGAAAGTCAAGGATGTATCGCATAATGCACGTATTTACGTAGTACAGGCCGACGCAAATATTATTTTCTCATCTGAAGCGGAAAATTCAATTTTAAACCTTATTTCAGTGGCACTTCGAATGAAACTCTGTTTCCAGTTGTTTTATATATGTCAAGTGAAAATATTCACAGTAATTCAATTAAATCTATATCTGTGCTGCAGTAGTTTAAATTATTAAAACGTATTTTAAACCGTATTTTTTTAAGTGGATGTAAATATAACTGCTGGAAAAACGAAATGAAAACCAAAATGAAAAAAAAGAATAATACAATAATTTGTAATCATAATTAAATGGATATCAATCGCACTCAGAGTTGTTAAGTGGCCACTTTAGTATGGGAAATCTATGAGACTGTTTAAATAGTCTTTGAGTACGGCGGTAAAATGCCGAAGACATTTATTACGTTTTATTCAGTGTGTTACACAATTATTGTTTTTAAACATTCGTTGTATGAAAAAAATAACTATCTGAGTAAACTTGGTTTGGTTGGTACTTACCACAGCAATTTTGCACATCGCATCAGAGTTAGTTGTAGACAAAGGAGTTAAATGACTCCATTGTGAACATCGATTTAATGGTTTTAATATAGGAATAGGAGGTGCTCCCATGTTCAAAGTAGGCCTAGTACTAAATATCATCATAAGTTTTGCCACAAATCGATCGAAATATTATCAATCTAACTAATTTGAAAATTGGTTCTTTTCGACACCAAAACTTAACTTTAAGAACCTATGTAAATGATTCCTAGAACTACGATCTAGAAATGTAAAAGATACATTTCAGTGTTTAAATTCTTAACATTTTCTTTTTGTCTATAAATTGATTTTAGAGGTTATGTGGTTGCTAAGTAACCGTTAGCCTTATTTTAAATAATGATTTATCAAATGGACAACTGTTTAAAAAGAGTTTTGTGATTAACTGTTTTATTTATGTTTAAACCATGGAAGTAATACTAGTAATACATCCATGGTTAAAACTTAATACATGTTCCAAAAATTTCTGACCGTTAAGTTTATTGGCGCGAAAACTGAACACTGGACCGGATTACGGATGTTTAATAATGACAGTAAAAAATCAACAATCACGCCATCTACATCATTTACTGTGTGGGTGAAGTTGAACTGTGAAGTCTAGAAGTAGAAAAGCTTCTCTAAATTTCTAAAACTTACTTTCCTTTTAAGTAATTTCTGGCGAACATTAAATATTCAAGTTATTTTACATTTACTTTTGCTCGTATATATTTCCGAATGAACGAAAAATTCAAATTCTTGCGTGTATCCGAACGTGCAACGAAATTCGAATATGTCACAATTGTTTTCAAATTTTGTTTACACTGTTTTATAAAAATATAATGTCTTGGTTTTTCCAATAAATATCAAAGGCGAACTTACTACTGGATGTTATAATTATGATGTCTGATATGGAAACTTCCATAAGAGGATTTTCATTTATGCCGGGAACGGAGGTCAAAATTAAAGGTTTAGATTTACAGGTTTGTTCAAACTCTTTATAAAATTTAGTATTCACTTGAATAAATGATAATTATCGTTACCTTCCTCTAACAGCAACGTTTAAAGTTGCCAAAATAATGTATTTTTAAGAAAGGAAGTGTAAAATCAAAAATTTTTTTGGCAGTACGTAGAAGACAGCGAGCTAGAAAGAGCTTGGAGATCGAGCCGACGTGAACGCGTAAAGCAGCAAGAAGAAAAGATATGGAATGATTTTATTGAAGAGCAGGATATCGTGCGGACTGTTTATGAAAGTAATATATTTTTATTCATTCTCTTTAACTACTTATTAAGTTCCATATAACAGACCTGTTATAAGCAATCCCTAAGCTTCGTCTTAAAAATAGCGTCTTAATAAGATCATATTATGGTCTATCTTAATACACAGCAACTATTTGATTCTAACAAAGATAAGATCATACTTCAGTAAGATATTTCCATTATGAAGTAAAACATTGTTTCAGGTGATCCATATCAATTTATTGAACAACTATCAGAATCCTGTTTGAATGAACTTTTGCAGAATCATTTAAATAAAGTACAACAGAAAGAAAAGCAAACGGAAGAAGAAGCTAATGTAAGAAAAATATCGGCAACTTTTACAATAGATTTCCACTGTCATGGTAGTAGGCTTTAACAGCTTTGCCCATCTAGAAAAAAGTAAATATTCATTAATAATGTAGCTTTCTAATGGTGAAGAATATTTGTAATTTTTGAGTTTATTTGTTGCTTACAATATCTTACCCAAGTTTAATAGTATTGATTCACAATTAGAGCAACATTAAAAGAAATCAAAAGACTTACATATCATACAATTTGTGTAGAAACATTAATTGCCGCAAATTTCAAATTCATTAGAATTTCTTTAGGTAAAAGATGAAGAAACTCCATCACCCGGTGAAGAAAGTCCTGTATCAACGGAGAGCACAGAGCAGGAAAGGTGTGATGATGAAAACATCTTTCACCTATTTCATGAAGATAAAGATGATGAAGGATATTCAGGTTTGAAATGTGAATAAATTATTTTCTATTTATTTCATGACAAGGTACACTGTATTTTTCATAGACTACTTCTTATAGATTAGTTTATCCTTGTCCTAAGGAGGTTGGCACAGTTTTGTTACATACATCTCAAGTAGGGGTAGTGCCCTCTCAACAGGGACAGGGTAGAGATGCCTCTCTTGCTAGAGAATGGTAAAAGTAAAGTAGATATTAAACTATTAATAAGACCATATTAGTTGCTACCTAGAGCCTAGGTTTAGCTAGCCGATAACTCTTAGGCTAAATTATCCTAAACATAATAAATATTTTGTCATGACGAGATATAGATTACAAGAAGTTCTTATATGAATTTCTGCAGTTTAAATACACAATAGCAGGTATATTTACCTTTTAGGTAATGAAGATGTATTAAATGATTCTGCAGCTAGTCCATTGTGCACTGTGAGAGAGAAACAAGAAGAAATTGAAGAACAGCCGGTACAAATAGTAGAAACTAAACCCGTAAATAAAGGAAGTACACCAGAAAAAGATTCATGTATGTATCTTGTTATAGCAGAATATTGAAATAACTATTAAAAACTGTGTCTCAAAGTATAAGATCAAATACCATTAAACTTTAGACGTCTGTCATATTGTAAACTGCAGTATTGTGCTAACGAAGCCAAGGATTAGACTTTAGACATTTTAGAGAATATATATACTATGGAGTAAAAATTGTATTTTTGTATGTAATAAACATAAAAACATATTTTTTTTTCATAATAATTATGGTAAAGTATATATGTATTATATTTTCCAGGTAACTCACCAACTCCTCATTCAACAAACATAAACAGTGTGCTAGAGAACAGTATATACTGCGCCAAAGTTAAAGATCTACGCGTCAGGATCTCTGAAGAAATACTCAGCATTATGTAAGTTAACATTAATTTATTTTAACGTTAAAATATTTTAACATTAACAAACGTTAACGTTAAAATGTCTTAATATTTACATATATTAACGTTAACATACATTAACTTTATATGAAGCAGTTGATTTTTTTACAGCACTCTCAGTTGAATACTGAAACTATATTGCAACATGGAACATTTTTAATTAGGCCACGATTAAACTTCAAATAATTTTAAAATTACATCTGTTAGATTGTAAGCGGCGCTTACGCAGTGTTTAAGATTTTTCCCGTTTAGCCTGAACATTTTTGTTCAAAAATATTGCCATACTTATTCTCTTTCTCTCTTTCTTCTTTAGTAAAGACAAGGATAGTGTCATAGTGTAGTATTGTACTCGTCTAAGTTTATCTGAATTCCGTTCCAGTACGTCACTAGAACGTCTTGACATATACAATATAGATCCGGACGAGTTGAGGAAGATGCAAAAGAGGTCTTCGGAGTTCACCTCCAGGTTCAGTCGCATACATGTGTACCAGCTGCAGAGGCAGGTGAGTTAATTGAACATAGATGTAGAGTTAATTAAAATTAACATCTTTAACGTGACATATTTAATATATAGTATACACTCAGATTATTGTGCCAGAAGACTCATTTTTGTCTACTGTTGTACAGTCTTGTCTACTGTCATGGTGGCATGCCAGCAAAGCAGTCCTATTCGAGACAAAAGTAGCATAAAGTACAGATAGAATGAGGAGTGGTGAACAGAGGAGGGGATACATTATTATGCTTTGGTTAAGGGAAATATACATTTTTATGCATTTCTTCCGTCGATTCAAAGTAGGCTATGTTTGGGGATGTCTGTGGGCAGCGATCTCTTCGTTTCTGCGAAGTCAGCCGCTTGGTTTGCTATCATGTGATATAATACCACCTCTTAATATGCTAAGGCGGGAAACAACCAAGCAACTTGAAATCGCCAAAAAAGCGAAGCTGCTTCCCATAAACATCGGCAATAGCAGATCCGTTGCCTGCCCTCAATCGGCGGAAGAGACGCATATAAATACGACATTTCCCCTTCCTATGCTTCACCGTTCAATCCATCTCCATTATAAAAGGGGAAGGGAAAGAGACCTTGCTTTGTTCTGTGTCTATGTTTTATATCGTTCTATGTGTTTCTATGGATTAAATGAAACATAGATCCACGACCTGAAGAGAACGAGCAGTTCCCAGCTGCCGTACGGCCAGCACACGCAGCTGCAAGCGCACATGCTGCGGATTGTCTCCATGCATCAGAACTTACTGCAGGCTTACTGTGTATGTTATTTTATTTATTTTAACAATAATTGTCAAAATATTGAATTCAGTGTTTCTAGGGTTCGGTAAGAATGGGAAGAGAATGTAGATTTGGCAGAGAGCGGATGTTTAGGGAATGTTTTATTGTACTCTTGTTTTTCATTTTCTAATATAAAATTATTTCTTTATCCTTTGCTTTCCTTATTGATGTAAATGTTTAGATCTTCTTCTCTTCTTCTTCTTTAGCTCTACAGCCCTTTGTGGGCCTTGGCTGCGATTTTTTCCACTTTTAAATGTTTAGATACAAGGATTAATGTTTGTTAGAGTTCCCATCTAAATAGTTCAACGGATTTCAATTAAATTTGTCATAGATGTAGAGCATGGTATGGGAGAACACCTGTTCTACTTTTTTTTAATTCCACGCGGACTGAGTCGCGGGAAACAGTTAGTTACAGTATAATTTGCAGGGGTTTCATAAATCGTTCTCCCAAACGATGTGCATCGGAGATGGTTGCCAGCCGGGGCTGGTGCTGAGCCAGCTGGTGCGCGAGGTGCCGCCGCCGGCGCAGCACGCCATCAGGCATCTCTACGCTGACGTGAGTTATTCATTCATTCAATTATTCATTCACTCACTCACTCATTCGCTCACTCACTTATACGTTCATTACATTGATCTCTTTTAGATGGATAGTTGATGCTTAAAAATGCCAGCTTTTGTTTCTTTCCAATTTTAGGTTATCTCTATTATTAGAATTGTTACTATTTCACTGTTGGCGCCAAAAATGGTGAAAATAACCATAAAATACCACAGTTTCTAGCCTGTCCCTTTGTAGAGGTCAGAGATTAGCTAGTTCGCTCATTTATTTACCAATCTATTTATTAGATTTTTCTTTTATCCATACACTTTTTCGTCCAATTACTTATTTTTTTTTTTTAATAAATGAGTATTTTTATACAAATTTAAATTATGGATTCATCCATGCACCATTTATTCACTTGGTCATACATTAGATAACTAACTGTTATATTTTATTTTAATTCTATTTGACATAGTTAATGATGTAGCTTTTTTTGGTAGAACTTGTTGGTGACCTGTGACAAGCTGGATGAGGCGCTCGCTAAACACAATCAGAGGACTGCTGACATCATCAAGAGCATTGAAGAAGAAGTGAGTGCCCACATATTCACTAGCTGGTACTCGCGACTTCGTCCTCATGAAAATTATAAATATAACATATAATATTCAGCAATAACATAGCTTTTTAATGGTAGAATTTTTTGAAATCAACCCAGCAGTTTTTGAGTTATTTCAATACATACAAAAATATAAATCTTTATGATATTTAGATTCACACAAGGCTTTTGACTGATTATTCACTCATTCTAAAAGACAAATACACGTTAATTGAATGGAAGAACGAATGAATGATTTGATTGGCTTTTAATTTAATAGTATTTTGAAGATTTTATCAATTAGACTTTGTAGTTATAAAATGAGAATGAATGAAAATGTTCTTTCAGAGAAATGAAAATAAATCGCATAGAGCTAAAGGAAAGAAGGTACCTGGTGTAAAGACTTGTGAGTGGTAAATTATATTATTAACTAGCTTTCGCCCTCGACTCCGTTTGCGTGGAATTAAAAAATCAAAGTACTTCAAGTCGAAAGGAATCTTCGTCTTTTTTCCTAAAGTATCAAGGGTATTTAATACCAGCATAAAATACCTATAGTGAATGTAAGAATCAATATTCTTAAAAAATGAAAAAACTTAGTTTGAATCTCTAAACAATTTGTTTTTTTTTTATATTTCTTAATGTTTTCGTCTAATAGTTTTTGTCCGCGTGAAATAAAAAAAAAAAATTGGCTATGTGTTCTTCAAGATTATCTTCTACATCTATGACTAATATTATCTAGATCCGTTCAGCAGTTAAGGCTACAAACTCTAACATCCATCCATCCATCTATTTAAACTTTCGCGCATTTATATTAGTAAGTGTAGAATAAATGAGTTGATTTTTAATCAAGGCAAGTATATTGTATATAAAAAAAATCTATTTCAGCGTCCAGAGCCGATGGTAAACTTTCAATGTATTCTCTCGATACGTTACGTATTAACTTGAAGCCGAAGACATCTTCAACGAAAAATAGTTTGTCAAGGTCATATATTTTCTTGTATATTTTTTAATTCTTTTAGATTAAGATAAATATGTGTTTATATTATTTTAGTGCGAACAAATTGACGAGCACTGCGAGTAAAACCAGTCATAAGCAAGCGCCGAAGAAAGCAACTTCACCTAAAGTTAAAAGGAAGTCTCCTATGTAAGTACTTAATAACTTATTACTCTCCTACTAGTTTCTCATGGAACAAAAAAAGGATGTTTATGAGTTTTTCCAGACTATTTTCTACATCTATGCCTAATTTCAAGGAAATCTAGTAGTTAAGGCTGGAAACTCTAACATGATCCATTTAAACTAGGGTCTCACATCAAGCCTTTTTCTGTACATATTTTACCAATACACGTCTATACTATTATAATAAAGCGTAAACACACACTTCTTTGTTGCCTAAGATGTCAGCAATTACAGAATATTTTTAAATAATTATTTTTTTAATAAAAAGCCCTACACTTACGTCACGCTTTAGGCTATATATTTTAACGCCATTAAACTTAGGGGTAAATATTTTGGACAAAAACACAAATGTGGGAAAGAGACCATAAGTTGCTGCCAACATCAAGGAAGCAATGTCATCATGTCATGTCATTTTGACGTTTGTAATTAATAATTTGACAAATGTAAACAGTAAAATAAAATTTTCACAACTTCATGCGGATGAAGTCGCACGGGAACAGCTAGTGTCTACATAAAAAATAATTTTATTTCTAAATATTTCACGCTATACATTTTGGTCCTTCGAGCCGGATTGTAGAGTATGAAGTAAGTAGTAAGAAGAAGTAATAGTAATTAAAAAGCAACTGTCCACAGCAAGGTGCGGCCACGACGCGATGATTCTGATGTCCGTACTATGGTGGAAGCTGTCACTGCGGTATGGAACTTTGTAGTATTTATATAGCTGTTGCTCGCGACCTCGTCTGTGTACAATATAGCCTATGTTATTCACTGATAACGTAGCTTTTTAATAGTGCAAGATCTTTTGACATCGGCCCAGTTTGAGTTATTTTTAATAAAATATTAGTATAGTTCATACCTAAAAAAACTTCTACATGAACTACTCAAATCGATTAAAATGTAAAAAAACTCTTTTGGGCAATAATGATTGCGGCAAGATTTTTATAGTGAAGGTCATAGTAAACTAAGTTAAAAATTACTAAATTTTTTCGATAGTGAATCGTATATTTTCACATACTTGCGTGTATGGTATACTTAAAAAAATGAACATGAGGGTTAATTGCTGACAGATGAATCGACTGACTTATCTGTCAGGTTTATTTTTTTTTTATAATAAAAGGGGGCAAACGAGCAGCGTGAACACCAAGGTGGTCAACGACGCCTATGGACATCCGCAACACCAGATGAACTACAGATGCGTTGCTGGTCTTTGAAAACATACAAACGAATTGAGTACCTCCTTTTGGGAAGTCGGTCAAAAACTATCAAAATTAAATAAATAGTAAATTCTTCCTTCAGAGTCATGTGAGCCTGGTACCAAGCGCGCTTCCTTCCCCAACTAAAGTGCAAACATCGCGGAAAGTGCCCACGCCGCGACAGAAACGGGTAGAAGCTTCTAGAAAGAACCAGAAGGTGAAGAAACCCGTCGCTGAGGTGATCAAGAAAACGGAATCTTCTAGAAGAGAACCTAGTGAATCTCCTAAAGTGTTGAGGAGTAGAGCAGTATCTCCGGTTATTTCGACTCGGGAAGAACCCGATACTAGTAGGCATGAAAAGAAATACAAGGTAAGTGTTTTTCTTTCTCTCTCTCTCTCTCTCCTTCGCTCCCTCTCTCTTTCTCCCTCCTTTGTAATGATGTTATAAATGTTTTGATGGATGTTATGTTACCACGTGTTAACCGATTTTATTGACATTTGGCACAGATATAGAATTTAATTTGGAAGAATGCATTTAATTCCGCGCGTTTGTAGTCGCAGCCAATAGCTAGTTTACTTATCTCAAAATATGGACCCATAAATTTTGTAAATGAGGAAATTTTAACACATGGGCGATTATACTATCTTGTATTTTCTTTTAAAGTGTCGAAAATCAATAATAAGTAATAAGAAGTAATTCAGACAGTTATTAAGGTGATATTAACTAGTTAAAAAAACTTTTTTCCGGGAAATATTTGCAATTTACTTAACAGTTTTAGTATATATTTTTTAACATTTTGTGTTTTGAATTGCAACAAGGAACAGTTTCGTATAACAGTCGTTAATTTGGTATGAAATCTCTTAAATGAAAGAATAATTAAAAACCAAAGTGCTTTATTGAAAACTCATGTCTTCGAGAAGCGTAAAAATATTTTGTCACAATAACAATTCTAAATAGATAAATAGATCGCCGATACAAATATTATATAATCAACTTAACAAAATGTCTTTGTAAAGCGACCGAATGTATACAAAAATATACTGTATTTCTTATAACATAGAGTCGTAATTCTAATGTGATGGTTTAGAAAACTTGCTTAGTACTTAAGCACAAAAATCCTCTTGAATTTTGTGACAAAATATAATGTGATCATATTTTTATGGATATAAATAAGGTGTTTTTATATCAAAAATATTATAAAATAAATAGTTTTAAAAATTAAGCTTCATATAATTTAAGGCAATACAGAGTGCCGCGCTTAGTATGTGCACTTAATGTATATAACATCGTACATCGATGGGTGTGAATGTTTGTGTGTTCGTCTAGGCGCATTTTCCGCACAGCGGCATATTGTCCAGTACAGAGAAGGTGGAGTCCGTCACTGGATTCCTGCATTTCTGGAAAATAAAACGTTTCTGTTAATACCACAAAATGTCTTTCACCTTCGTTATATTTGACGTAGTATTCCAAGTCTAAGAACGTCGCTAACAGCCTTACAAATAAACGCGATATAAATTTAAACTTAGGAATAAACTTATTATAAGCAAAATTTGTCCTAATGTTTGCTTATACTCTGTTTATTCCATAGTTTAATAGTATCTTTGTAAGACTGTTAAAGTCTTTTATTTTAATTACTAAGTTTTCATAATCATTGTTAACCAAAAAGCATACAAATTTCAATGTAGTCTGCCTTTTAAAGATAATCCCTCGACTTACAAACACTCAAGTATTTCTATAACTACATAGAGAAACTATCTATGTTACCTTGCAAGTGAAGCATGCACCATGCCACTTGGCGTTCAGGGCAATAATGGCCTTGTCCACGATAGGTTTGCTGCAACTAGCACAACGGGCTGCGAATTTCTCAGCATAGCATGCCGAGCAGTAAGGCCTGCCAGCCTGCAATTAAATATTACATGGTCCTTATGAGCCGGATAAAATAGATATAAACACAAGGTTCTAATGGGATCAAACCCATAAGGAGAGGGTGTATATTTTTTTATGGGCCTCCCTATGCCGCCCTTTCGTACCCCTGACGTATTGATATCAGGGACTTTGAGAGAGCGTGTATTGGTACACTTAATGACAACAGTGGTTTATGTATGGGTAGTCAGGAAAAAAACAAAGATATAGGCAATTAGCAAATAGGTTAGTTCTTCCATACCTGTTCCATGAAGCCACCACCGCCAAGTTCCTTCCTGCAGCCGCCACATACAAAGTGATTTGCATGCCATGACACTCCCAAAGCTTGAATAACACGCTGAAATAGAAAAAAAAAAATGTTATTGGGCTTATATTATACTGAGATTTGAAACTGTAAAGATTTTGGCTTTTTAAAATTCTACGTTAACGTTTTGCTAAAATATTTTAACATTGGAAATATAGACTACAAGCTGTTCCGCTTTATCGTTAGGCTTTATGCATGCAATTATATAAAAAAAAACTATTTTATTTTTCCATTTGTTCTCAACTGCACATGTCATAATTCAAATGCACAAATGACAACGAAGGCTTTTGACATTGGATAACAATTACAGTTACTCATTCTCAGCTTGCATTTTTTGTCACTTTCCCGCATGGTTTTGCCAGATTATTTACTTCTTAAGTTTAATAGCGTGAAGATATATAGCCTTGATTGTGTTATATATGTAGGGCTTTTACATAAAAGAAGAATTATTCAAAAATATGCTGTGATTGCCAAACTAAGGAGTGTGTGTTTATGTTTTATTACGTTAGTATATATTCGTTTTTAAAGTCATTTTCCTCCACAAAAAAGTGTCAATATGTCAATACATTGCACATTGTACTAAAAATACATTTAAGTACGCCGTTACAATGACGCGTATAAACCTTGCTAATAAATTCATGTTGAAAACATCTTTATGCCCATTGTGTTGTATATTTGGATATGGATCCTCGGACGCATACGATTACATCATCAAAAGCTGTATGAATGATTAAAAGCTTGTCTCCCATAGCTAGACATTACGTTTCTGTTACATGTATAAATAGACTTGAATAGGGTGACGATATTTAAAATCAGATTTGGGACAACAGCTGTATTGTGCATGAATGTCGAATAAAAATTTTTGTATCACCTGCATATGAACCACCTTTTTGTGCAGCAGGTGCGTTAAGGAACAAATTGCATTTTGGCACAGGTGATATTTAAATTGATTTACTTGATAAATTTGTTATAGTGCTTGGAAGTTTAGTTCCTTTACTATATGTGTGGTTTTTGCATTATAAAATAGTTTATATTAAGCAATTAAGGATATGTCCCATTCTGTTAATAAATTGCAGTGTTTCTATTATGGAGATACACTTATCACTGCGCACGGTTGAGCGGACTTTGATTTTTTTCATAAACAAATGATGTCATCGCAGTGACTGAGTGTGTTAGTAAATTGGCTACACCCTAAAGTACCAGTTCAGTTTCTGTGTTAAACTACGTATTATTGTAATTTATGAGGTGTTATTACCTCAACTGTTAAAAAGTGGGTAGGGGAGTTACATGAATTTTCACCAACGAAACATTTGTAAAAAAACATGTTAATAATTTTTTTTGCACATTTCGAAATTCACGGCTGACTCGCATGTAACAAGAAGGACATTGGTTATAAGTGTGGAGGTACACGGGTCGTGGTAGACCTATAAAAAGATTGATGGATTGCGTGAAAGGTGACATGATCAAGAAGGGAGTGATGACTGAGATGAAGGTTGATAGAGTTATTTGGAGGACGTAAACCCGATCCGATTACATTACTGGAGTAGGATAAGGTAGGGGAGATGATGTGGAAACTCACTGCACAGACATACTGCGATGTAATTACTCAAACGCGTGATATTAGTAAAATGACGAAAAAAATAGTATAGTAAAGATAGAACCAGTTTCTACATTTATTGTTAGTGAGATTTCAAGAATTGTTTCCATTATCCAGATATCCAGTTTTAAATTACGATAAACAGACAAAATTGCGGTAACCGGATGATATTATTGCCGAAATTTCTTACGGTCATTAGCGTGTTACGTGTACACGTGGGTGTAGTTTATCATACCGTGTGCAACCGCTGACTCAGTGGCATGTGGACGAAACCACGTGTATTCGTATGTATGTCGCCCTTGAACGTTTATATGTGAGATAGTTTGATGACAACGAGCCTGGAATACTTAGACGTTATTGTGAAATGGAAGATGGAAATGTTTCGTGATTATAGGACGACTAATGTATTTTGATACTTGATTATAGAAATCGATGATATTGGAAAAGTTATTTAGTCAGCAAATTAAGTTATTTTACCTTGAATTTTACTGTTTACGTCTATGTAAATATATATGCATAAAAATTATGAAAGTAAAATGAGTCATATCAGATATATCTTTAAAACAATAGTGAATAGGTTCACTATGCTAATGCTTTGAGGCATATTAACTTGTATCATTTACTTGTAGTTTCAAAAGCAACATAGTAAAAATATTTGCGACTTATTTGTCCGTTTGTTTGTAATATTTAATTAACAAGTACTGACCAATCTATACTATTATAATAAGCGTAAACACACACTTCTTTGTTGCCTAAGATGTCAACCATTACAGCATATTTTTGAATAATTCTTTTTTTATTAAAAAGCCCTACGCTTACGTTAAGCTTTAGGTTATATATTTTCACGCCATTAAACTTAGGGGTAAATGTTTTGGATAAAAATCTTAATGTGGGAAAGAGACCATAAGTTGTTACCAACATCAAGGGAGCAAGATTGCCAAGGTTTATCATTTCATGTCATTTTGACATTTGCTATTGATAATTTGACAAATGTAAACAATAAAATATTTTTTTTATAATTTCATGCGGATGAAGCCGCACGGGAACTGCTAGTCTTTATATATCTTAGTTATTGTAGGAAACCAATGACCGATGCATTTAATTATATTCTTATCATTAAATATGAAAAATATATAATGACTTAATTTCTCTAGCAATTACTCGTTATTAATGCAACGAGCGTAGATAATTTATCTATTTAACTGGAAGTACTATGCATAACGTATAAACTCAAACTTGAATGCGCGCAACGTCTTTAATTGCATGCGATAGATATGTATCAGACGCATCCGAGTGATTTGTTTACATGTGGCACTTCCAGTTGTTATAGATCTGTGTACATTAATAAGTAATTCATTAGTTTACAAGCAGACATCGTAGGTCGGATGTATGTGTCGGAGAGGTTTTTTTTACAATTGACTAGTTTGTTTACTTCCAATGTTTAGTTAGGTGTATTTTTTTAATTACGATAAAAGATTCATTTTTTGGTCCAAGTCCAACGTAATGCGTTCCTTGTATTCGAACCTAGCGATAAAATCATCTTAACGCCGCGTTGATTGTGAGGCGTGGGCTGGGCTATAAAACATTTTACTACCTTACAAGGAGCGGTCTGTTTGCCGGCGTTGCGTCATCTTGTAAATGATTTTTGCGTCATTTTTACATCTACCCAATTAGATCAGTGTCACACTGTCGTAGTTTAAAAAGTAATTCTTATCTTGTACATTAATAAATAAACTAGCTTATTGAAACATCCGTAATATTAATATCTCAATCCCAAGAAGGCATTTTCGTATAGCATAACCTAGAATCTTGTTCTGGGGGTCCTTCAAACGGCTTCTACTACATTAAAGTGCGTAAATATATTAGTTCCATATTTCCAATATGGCGAGGGTTTTAGCAGTAGGTACTAATATTTAGTCTTGATTGCTGCCTATTTAAGAACTAGTTTTACGTCCCTTAAGGTTCCTTCAAGTTTGTGATTTCAAAACGGTGGTGTAACCAGAAGCTGTTAACTCACATCTGTGATAGGCTCCCCGCAGCCGTGGCACCTCGGGCTGTAGTGCTGGGCGTAGCATGGCACGCATACAACGCCGCCGTCGTGCTGGTGGAATTTGGAGCCGTCGATCGGTTTACGGCATGTGTTGCACGCAAAATGCTCCGGATGCCATTTCTTGTTTAGTGCAGTCACGATCTGTAAAAAAAATGAATTCCGGTATATCTATTGACGTTTAGAATTTCAACCTTCTCTCTTTATCCTCGATAAAGTTACAGGGATGTCGAAAGTGTCCTGAACCGCTTCAAGAAAAGAGTGTTTGGCCGTGCGTGCACGCCTCGGCGCGTACATTTTGAAAGTAACTTGAAATTTAAAACTTTTGTCTCTAAATATTTTACTATTTTCACTGCTGTGTCAAATGTTCTTCGTTATTTAAAGCTCTTCCTTTATCGAGATTAAAATAGTTCTCAATTGTTTCGATTGTCCTACGGTAGGACGACGGTTGCTTTTTTAAGACGTTAAAAATGTCTAAGAAAATCAGGAGATGAGTGAATATTATAATAGACATTTCTGAATGCTTTATTCGCTTATCGTCGAGAGGTTTTGCGTTTTATTGTTTTGAAAGGAAATTAAGGCGTGATTATCTGTATGATTTCTAATCAGTCATAAATCTGATGTTATTTTGATTGGCAAGTCCATTAGCTATATCATTAGCATCCGGCTATAATAAGGTTGTGTAAGATGTTAATTTTTTACTTATTTTAATTAATATGTAGAGACTAGCTTTCGCCCGCGGGTTCCGCGGGGAATGGAAAAAAACAAAGGTGAATAGCCTATGTGTTCTACCAGAGTATTCTTTACATCTGTGCCAAATTTCATCGAAATCCTTTCATCCTTTTAGGCTTACTAACAAAAATCAATCCATCTAAACTTTCATATTTATAATATTAGTATGATTAATTTACTTGGTAACCCTATTGACTGAGTTCTAGATTATTTGTTGATACAGAGAATTGTGTCGCTGTTGTAACAATGTTATCGATATCTCGAACTTTCTGATTGGATTTTATTTGCTTGTACACATGTCGACACAAGTGTTTGTTGTGGTTATTGTTTAAATGTTTACGCTTTGTGTAAGAGGTGGAAAATGTTTTATATTAATTCCAAATGTGAATGTATCTTTCGTCACAAAAATGACTTTTTTCTGAATTAAAATGCGAATCTAGCTTGAATAAAATTGAGAAGCAAAGGTTAGCGTAGTATGGACATGTTGTGGGGCGAGACGATGCGGACATAAGTTGTAGATGTAAATGGCAACAGAGGTAGAGGAAGACCGAAGAATTTATGGATGGATTATGCGAAAGCTGATATGCTTAAGAAGGGAGTGAATTCAGATATAATAGCTGATAGAACTCTACGGAAAAGGCAAGGACTTGTTGATGATAAAATAAAGCTAATGTAGCATCCACTATTTGGTATAACTCATTTAGCTATTTCCCATGGTTTTTAATGCTAATTTTTTTGTGTGGGTTGCTCTCTGTACATCAAGATTTATTTGTCGATAAACAATTTATCAATCGATGACGTAATTACAGTGCAAATATTTCTATTTATCATTGCTTTATTTGCACTTAGCTTGTTGACACGGTTTTACTCAACATATTGTAAGGACAATTGACTTTTTGATATTATCTAAGTGGTAGAAAACTAGGTCTATTGAAAAAACATAAATTGGTACAAATTAATGCGATATTACTACGAAATAATTGTGATACAAATGGAATAAAATATGTTACTTGGTGTGAGTCAGGTTTTATTTCTCAATTTAAATTCTTCGGTATGTTAGAAGAGGAGCAAACAGTCTCTAACTACGGCGTTAATTACAACAGTATGATACAAATCTTCAATTTATCTTCTTAATAAATGAGTTTGCACTGATGAAACATTCACATGAAAACATGATACTATGAAGTCATCGCAGTTTTATATAAATTCGGCTAAAGAATCGAGCGATGATTCTACAACGTTAATTTTAATATTTAAAATTACTCACTCTGCCTTGGATCACTGCGTTGCAGCTGTTGCAAATAGCTGGTCCTGCGTCTTTTGTCGACTGCAACAAAAATATACAGTTAAAATTTTGAACGTGACACAGGAATGATTTGTCAGTGTTTTTTTCATTATTTTACTCCGTCCACGTAGAATTAAATAAAAACAAAAGTAGCCTTTGTATTCAAACTGTCAGACAGACAGACAAACTATCCTCAACATCTATGCCTAATTTCATAGAGATCCCTTCAGGAGTTTAGGCTACAAACTCTAACATCTATTTATATAAACTTTCGCATTTATAATAGTAAGATTTTAATGTAATATTGAAGAATGAAGAACTTTATTTAGAGCACAACAAAATAAAATACTGGAAATAAAAATATAAAACTAAGTTTCAATTAGCTAAAAGGGATTGCTAATTGCAGAAGCTATTTCCTTACTGCTCTATATTATTTGTCCCTGTACGTAATTGCATTGATAGTTTGACCTTGTCTCTGCCGAGTGCATGTCTGACCGATAATGTATGCGAGATAACGATCTCGTTCGACTTTGATATGACATCACTTTACAGTGGTAGGGGATTAAGGTATTGACACACTGATATCGATAATTTTATTCGTGCTAACTTTCTAGTATATTTGTCATATCAATATATGATACAAGTGCAGTGACGAGTGCACTAAGGTTATTTTAACGTAAAGTATTCAAGTAAAGATTTTTGAAATAGTAGATTCTATCCTAATGAGTTCATTGGACTTTTAATCAGACCCATAATTTATATTCCTCATACTAAATCTATTCTTAGGGTCACCTTTAATGATTAATGCATCTGAAAACAACAGTAATCCATGGATGCAAGTTGTAAGAGATAGCGATTTTAAAACATCAACTAAAATTAGTATATAGAAATATTGAAATACAAGTCAAGTGTGGTGTGGTCTTAAAGCTGACCGGCCATTACATGAAATGTTTATGTAATTTATATGGCAGCTTCACACGACTGCTTCTTTACAATTACAGATGTCCACTTGGATATGCGACGGCCTTGAGATGGCCTCCCCATGCGCTTTTCTTTCATGTATCTGTTTACTTTACGATGCATTCCTTATTCAATTACGAGATATAAATTATGCAACGGTTGATTATCTAGTGATGTAAATACTTTGTGTAAAATAGCATTTTTATTGGTAAGAAAAGTCTTTTTAAAGTTGAAAATTCTAAACGTATTACCAAAGCCTTTAATTTAATATTATTTTACATCAGTTTTATACATAAACTTTTAAGTTAAAAATTAGTTTTGTAGCATACGAATAAACACATTTTCCTTATGTTAAGAAGACCAGAGCCATTTAAACTTTAAGTAATGACATGTCTTATGAAGTGTTTACAATGCCCAGTTCTAAGACATTTGTAACTCTGTTGATAATTCAATTAGTGTTAACAAGTGATTCATAAAGAGGACCTGTTTTAACGCACGTAGGGTATGCACTCGCCGTATTAGGCATATCAAAGAAAGCGCATCGAAGTCACGCAAATGTGTCATACGTATTTGGACGTCTAAGAAACAATACTCTATGCCTTATTTAGAACATGTAACGGGTCAAGGTTACTATGTCACAGGCGGTGGCGGATATGAACAGTTAAATGCTATATATTTAATGTTACGTATCGGAAAATTTCAAATATGCAGAATGTTATATGTTAAATAATATTAAAGTTTCAATCTGGTAGTAATTGGCAGTAATAAAATTTCCGTATAAACAATATTTCTCATGTGCCGCATTTTTGTCACTCGAAACGTTTAGTGTATTTTTGATGGCTTAATTCTTATTCAATTTATATTAAAAAGTATTTAGGAAATTAATTTGGTTGGTCAACACGCTATAGCTTATGCAATTGGGCCAGTCGTCAATTAGTAATGTAGGGCGTTGACGCAAGGTCAAGGTGCGTTGCGATTTGTAACGTAAGACAAGGAAATTAACCTTGTGCAGTTTGTCAACTTGTATTACTAAAGATTGTAAACAACAGCGAATCCAGGGGGGAGGTCATGGGGGTCATGACCCCCCCATGGGCTGGTTGGTTAAGAGTATAACAAAATATATTTACATATTTTGTCAAGCTCTTGACTTGACCACCACTATGTGACCCTCCCCTGGCGCCATTGTTGCATATGATTCACTGTCACAAATTCATGATAATTGTTTTTACACGAGCTTTTTCTTTATCTTTCAACAATCTTTGTTGAGTAAATTTTCAGTAAAAACTGAGACAGTTTTTTTCACATTTTTTAGTCAAAATACTACCTTAGTCATATTGAAAATAAGCGTAATCTTAATTTAATAAACAATTAACTTTATATATAAGCTTGTTTACTAAAAAAACAAGCTTTAATCCGCATAAGCTATAAAAACCGTATTACAGTTTCCGATACATGTAATATACATTAAAGGAATGACCTCATACAAACGACATTCGATTATTTTTATAACCACTTAAAATGTTGATAAACACACAGATTAACGTAGCAAATATTTATTTCCTGTTTGAAAGCAATGCAATAAACAGAATTACATCTCACTATTTTCAAAAGATAATGAGAGATAATGAGATATCGTTTCTCGTGCGCACAGCAAAGGAGTGGAATAAGTTGCCGGCGTCAGTGGTCCCGTCAAGTTATAACGTAGGTGCCTTCAAGAGCAGTGTGAATCGGTACTTAATAAACTAGCGCGTACCATCCTTCGACCACATCTTCACTTTGGTCTAGGTGGGATAGTAGTCAAGCGCTGGTTTCTACATGATAAAAAATGAAGATATGTTTTTACATATTTATAAGCAGTGGAAACCAACAGTTAAAAAAGTCAAATGATTTCCTGTCAATGATCGGATTCGAAAGAAATTACGATGAGTTGAAAATGTTATAAGAAACTAAACTTTCGAAGCAAAAATAATTCCGATTAAAAAATAATAACAACTAGGATATGCATTTGATAAAACAATAGGGTGTTCAAATGAAACATAATTTTCCACTTATCTAATAGTGATCTAACACGCGAAGGATATTATATCGGCAAACAAACGCCATCTAAGCGAGTCAATTGCCAGTCCATTTTGTTTGCTATTGCATTAAGTTAAACGATGTGGAATTGTTGGTAGCGCCACTTTAAAAGGTCATTTAGAGGTCATCCATAGACTAGGAACTCTATATTGTTTCGGTTGTACATATTTTTAACATACCTTGACAGCAGAGAAGAGGCACAGACAAAAGAGATAGTCATTGTTAATGGAACGAGAAAGATGAAAAAAGGTGACAGGAGAAAGATCAGAAACAAGCAGAATATTGTCATTCTTCTGATTCTTTACAAATTAAAAAAAATTATAATACTATAATATACCAATACACGATAACATAATTCATTATATGAAGCATGTTTCCTAAAAATAAATTTAAACATTCGTATTGCAATGCCAGTACAAATAAAAGAGAAAATTGATTGTTGCATGTTATTGAAACATTGTCCGATAGTGATAACGTTTGGTTGATAATGCTGTTTCGATGTTGTAGATAAACTACGGATATGAAGTCTCTGATTAAAGCCGGTGTATATATAGAAATTATTAACCCGAATATTACAATTTTCATGGAATTGTTACTAAAGAAAAATTACCAAAAGGAAGCTCGAGGAATCATAACATTAGTTCCAAAGTTAAATCCCTCCAAAAAGTCGTGAGAGAAGCGAAGGAGTAGGAGATAGTAAACGAGCAAGAAGCTATTCATTTCGCCAATGCGAAGTGCTCATCATCATGTTCAGCAATAGGTCGTCCAATAATGAACGTAGGCCCCCCACATTGATTATGCCCGGTCTCGGTCCTATGCCGCCCGCATCCAGTGCACTCCCCTTGACCAAACCAACATTGACCACCAAGTGCTCGACTTTTGCAACAAATTTCAATATTGCAGATGACATCACATGAAATTCGAAAATCTAAGAACACATTGGTACATAGCGAGGATTAATTCTGGACGTATAGATTTTTCGGTTAAGTTTAACAACTCAACGGTCTCGTAGATGCGTTGCTTATATACATAGGAAGTAAATAACTCAATATTAGACCTGTGTGTTCCTTGATTTAACCATATTAAGAATTGATTGGTCTGTAAAACGAATGATCAAAGAAACGTAACCGTTACTCCTTTACAGTAACAATACGCAATCAGGAACAATGCAGACAATAATTGTCACAAATTTTTATTCATTACCTATGACGTCATCGATTTCATTCAGTTGTACTAACTGCACCCTTTATGTCATAGCGACTTTGTAATTAGCATGATAAGATTGAAAAATAATGATTTATAGTACCCAAAATTGTAATGGGCTCGAACCCGAGTGATTTACGAGTAAGTGATCACTTGAACTCAGTATTTAAGACTAGTGATCTGGGCTTTGCTAGCACTAACTTTTTGAAACAATTGACGAACGCTTTAATCGTACCTCTCTATCGCTTGTTCAGCTCTCTTACTCGCACGCTTGGATCAAGCTGAGCGTGACAATGAACCATGCTTTTTTGTGTCTGCAGCCGATCACTGATTTATAACACGCTATGATGACGAAATTTACTGGACCAGGCAAAGGCCGTATTGCCCCTGATGATGATCACGACAATAACATGCATAGTATCTTAGTATTCCAAAGATAGTAAAAATATTAACAATTTAATAATACGTACAATTGTTTTGCTCGGAAATCCACGGTTAAATTATATACAAGAAATTCCGTCTTATATCATCTCTAAATAGACCTAATATATTAGGTTCATATTATTAGTCATACTCTGGAATTATTACAAGTTATGAGCAATGTGTCCTTTGCCCTGCTCAGGGTCGCTTCTGATATGAAATTGTCAACGCTTGCTGTACTAATGCGGCCCTTTTTATAGACATTATAAATAACTAACGATATTATACTATCGAAAGCATTGATCGTAACAATTTTGTTTACTGCCTCTAACTTTGCCAAGATACCATCTTTTAAACAATAAAAGCTTATTTCGTGTTTTATT